CCGTCGCCGCAGGCCGGGGCGGGTCCAGGGGGTGGAGCCGGCCCGTGACCGGGCGTGACGCGGGCCGCGGCCGCGCATATAGAGGCGGCCCCGGGGGCGCAGGGACCGAGCTCCGCCAGCACCACCGCCAGCACCACCTCCATCACCACCGCCATGCGGGAGATCGTGCACCTGCAAGCCGGCCAGTGCGGCAACCAGATCGGGGCCAAGGTGCGCGGGGGACCCTCGGCCATCTCCCCCCAACACACACACACACACCAGAGCCCCTTCCGTTAGGGCTTTGGGGATGCGGTGAGGGGTGGGCGGGATGGGGGGGGTCCCCAGGAGATGGGAGGGGGAGAGAAGGGAGGGGACGCTGGGAGACCGAGCCGGCCCCGCTGCAGACAAAGGCTCTCGATCAATTGCGGGGAGGAGGAGGCAGGAAAGGAGACGCAGCCCCAGCGCAGCCCAGAGCAGCAGCTGCCGGCCGCAGCTGGCCTCACCGCTGGCCGCTGTCCTCTCTCGCAGGCGCACAAAGACCCCGCTCCTCCCCACCACGCCGCCCCCATCTCCTCCTTCTCTCACACACCCCGCACCTCCTTCTTGCCTCCTTCTTGCCTCATCCCAGCCCCCTAGGTCACCTTCCTTGGGAAGTGGAGAGAGTGGACGGGTGCCGGGGGTGGAGGGTGTCCTGGGTGGGGCCGGCCGGCCTCTAGCCTCCCTCCCCCTCATCTCCTGTGCACTGCCCCCACCCCCATCCCTCTTGCGCGCCTGTTTGCAGTTCTGGGAGGTGATTAGCGATGAACACGGCATCGACCCTACCGGCACGTACCACGGTGACAGCGACCTGCAGCTGGAGCGCATCAACGTGTACTACAACGAGGCCACAGGTACAGCAGCCCCCCTGGACCCCCGGGGGTGGGCAGGCGATGGGGAGGCCCTGGGAGGTGGGGGAAGGGGCCTGCGTGGCCCCTGCTCTTCCCCCAACCCTTCACTGCCGCCACCGCCACCCCCGCCACCCCCGCGCCCCAGCTGCCCTCCATCTGTTGTCCCCATAGGGGGGAATTATGTCCCGCGAGCTGTGCTGGTGGACCTGGAACCTGGCACCATGGACTCCGTGCGCTCCGGCCCCTTCGGCCAGATCTTCCGGCCTGACAATTTTGTGTTTGGTGAGCTGCCCTCCCCTCTGCCCCTCAACTCAGGAGACCCCAGGTTCCTTCGACTTGCGACTTGACTTGCGAGGGCCCCTGTGGACACACCATGGTCCCTGAAAGATCTCCTGGAGGAATGGGGTGGTTTGTTTTTGTTTCTTTGTTTCAAAGACAGGTACCAAAGTGAAAAGGTTGCCAACCACTAGTTCACTTGTTTCACTGCCCAGCAGAGGCCTGCAGCACCTGCTGGGCTGAGGCCAAAGCCAGGAGCTGCATCCAGGTGCCAGCCAGCCACCTGAGCCCTCCCCGTGGCCAGCACGCCTGGGGCTGTGTTGTGGGATCCAGGCATCTCCGTCAGTAGGGTACATGGCCTCGGGCAGGAAGAAGACGTTGTCATTCGATCCTCTGGACCAGAGCCAGATGACCGTGTGCCATTCCATGCCTGTGATAAGCAAGTAGTGAGCACCTACTGTATACAGCTGGGAAATGCAGCAAGAGGGGAACAAATGAGAGACCCGTTCATTCGGATGAGTCCCTGAGGGTCCCAAGCCTGTGCCCACCCTCCTCCATCTCCCATTCACAGCACAGACCCCCCCCTCCCTACTGTTTTAGGATAGCAGAGGGGCTTAGCATAGTAGCAGTGCTAACGTGGCAAGTTGGGCTGGGACCAGCTGAGGACAGCAGGAGGGGGATGGACAAGCAAAGATGGCAGGCACCTGCCTGATGTCCGCAGCTCAAAAACAGCTCTGCGGGAAGGGGCTCCCTTCCAGGCTGCAGCTCCCCCCCCCCACATCCAGCCCTGGCCCAGCACCCCAGCACCCTTCCCCCCTTGGAACTTAGAATTCTAGAAGCAGCTTGAGAAAGATAGGACAGGCCATGGCTGGGGTAGCTGGGATAACCACAGGTGCTTGGCAGGGGAGTGGGGAAATGGCCCAAGAGTGGAGCTGGTGATAGTCCCACCCGCACACTGTGTGGCTTTGCACACCTCACCTAACCTTTCTGTGCCCATGTGATAGAATGTGCACAGCGAGGGACAGGTGCAGGGCGTCCAGAATGAGGGTGAGAGGTGCAGGCATCCAGGAGATGGCTGGGGAAGAGATCAAGATGGGAACTGGCCAGTGACCACAGGCAGGTGCTTGCACACGCCCTCTCGTGGCTGCTGCAGAGAAGACAGGGGTCACTGTGCCTGGTCCAGGCTGCTGGACCCAGACAGAACAGAGCCGAGGTCGGACAGGAGGAGGAGCAGGAGGAGGAGGAATATTTGCTACTCAGAGCAACAGCAGCCCCGTGCTTGGCACTCTTGACCTGCTGGGGTTCGCATTCCCCAGCAAGATCCCAAAGAATACACAGCATTCATGAGAGAAAATGTAAGTTGGTGGGTGCCAGGGAGATTAAGAAATGCAGCCAAAACCAGCAAGAGGAGTTAACAAACCCAGTGTGTGGAGGCAGCCTGGCTCTCTTGGGGATGGGGTGAGGGGAAGGGTAGAATCTTCCAGCAGCAGGTGCCAGGAGCCTGTGGGCAGGACAGGAGCCTGGCGTGTGGGAGAGGCAGCGAGGGGGAAAGGCGTGGCTGACACAGAGCAGGTTAGGGGGACGCGGGGGTCGGGGCAGGCAGGCAGAGGGTCTGGCTCTAGGTTGATACAGCATTGGTTACTGGGATCATTCTGACCAGCAGGCGGACGGAAAGTACAGAGTGGACGCAGGAGATCAAATCATGAAGACATTCATGCCCTCCCCCTTTTATTGTTTGTTATTATCCAAGAGTTAATAGGGGCCCTAGGGTTGGGGAAGCAAGGGTGGGATGGGGAGCTGCCCCTAACAGGCCACCCCTTGGTGTATTTCCCCCCCACACACACACCTTTCCCAGGCCAATCGGGAGCCGGCAACAACTGGGCCAAGGGCCACTACACCGAGGGCGCCGAGTTGGTGGACGCCGTCCTGGATGTGGTTCGGAAGGAAGCAGAGAGCTGTGACTGCCTGCAGGGCTTCCAGCTGACCCACTCGCTGGGCGGCGGCACGGGCTCGGGCATGGGCACCCTGCTCATCAGCAAGATCCGCGAAGAATTCCCAGACCGCATCATGAACACCTTCAGCGTGGTGCCCTCGCCCAAGGTGTCGGACACGGTGGTGGAGCCCTACAACGCCACGCTGTCCGTGCACCAGCTGGTGGAGAACACGGACGAGACCTACTGCATCGACAACGAGGCCCTGTATGACATCTGCTTCCGCACGCTCAAGCTCACCACGCCCACCTACGGCGACCTCAACCACCTGGTGTCGGCCACCATGAGCGGGGTCACCACCTGCCTGCGCTTCCCCGGCCAGCTCAACGCCGACCTGCGCAAGCTGGCCGTGAACATGGTGCCCTTCCCGCGCCTGCACTTCTTCATGCCGGGCTTCGCGCCCCTCACCAGCCGGGGCAGCCAGCAGTACCGCGCGCTGACCGTGCCCGAGCTCACCCAGCAAATGTTCGACGCCAAGAACATGATGGCTGCCTGCGACCCACGCCACGGCCGCTACCTGACCGTGGCCGCAGTCTTCCGGGGCCGCATGTCCATGAAGGAGGTGGACGAGCAGATGCTGAGCGTACAAAGCAAAAACAGCAGCTACTTCGTGGAGTGGATCCCCAACAACGTCAAGACGGCCGTGTGTGACATCCCACCCCGGGGGCTCAAGATGGCTGCTACCTTCATCGGCAACAGCACGGCCATCCAGGAGCTGTTCAAGCGCATCTCGGAGCAGTTCACGGCCATGTTCCGGCGCAAGGCCTTCCTGCACTGGTACACGGGCGAGGGCATGGACGAGATGGAGTTCACCGAGGCCGAGAGCAACATGAACGACCTGGTGTCCGAGTACCAGCAGTACCAGGACGCCACGGCCGAGGAGGGCGAGTTCGAGGAGGAGGCCGAAGAGGAGGTGGCCTAGCCGGGGCGCAGCCCCAGCCAGCAACACCACCTGCACAGGCCCCTGTGCCACGGGCCTTCGCCTACCTTCCCACTCATCCTTGACCCGCCACAACCACCTCCACTTGGAGCCCTGTTCCCTGAGCCTCCCCCTAGACCCGTGAGCCCTGCTTTTGCGCCCTGCGAGCCTGCCTCCGCCTCTTAGCTGCAGAAGCACCGCCCCCACCCCTTTTCCTCCCTGTCATTTGCCTCAGCCGCCCGCCCACCTGTACTTGCCAAGCGCAGGAGAAAGTGTGTTGGCTTGGGAGGGGCGGGGCAAGAAAAAAGTAGGCTGCCCCACACCCCACCCTACCCATCCTCCCTCCTGCGTCCTCCCCACAAATAAATTCAGTGTTGGCCTAGCCTGCGCCTAGCGACTTGGTCTTTCGTGACACGTAGGGCAGTCAGCAAAGGGGCCATGGGATGCTGGCTGCTCCCGTGTGGCTCATGGGATCCTGGGTCAGGGGTGGGGAGGATGTGAATGGGTGGGGGAGTTGTCCCTCCCTAGCTGTTTGGGCCACTTCCTGGCTGTGTATGTGTGTGTGTGTGTGTGTGTCCCTGTGCAGAGCCTTCACTCTTCCTGGCATGCCCACCCCCACCCCCCAGCTCTCCGGACTGGCCCCTTCTGAACACCTTACACAGATACATGGACCCAGGGAGAGAAATGGATGTGAGGGGCATAGCATGACTTGGGGTGCTGCAGCGAGAGAGCAAGAGGGCTCTGTATGAGGTTTGGGGAGTGGGGGGCCTCGGACATGACCCAGGTTGGCAGTCCCCTGGGACTGCCCCCCTTTACTGCCCACTAGGAAGTAGGGTGCCTGGGTTTCTCACTGTGGGTGGGAGCAGGCACCGCCGAGCGGGGACGTCACCCGTTAAACTTCCTCTCTCGGTGACACAGGAAGTTGAGCCGGCTCTCGGCTCTCGGGGCCCAACCCCATACCCACCACCATCATCGTTCACCGCCGGGACCCCTAAGGGGACTCAGCCTGGCCTTTCAGCCCAGTGCGGGGACCATGGGATCCAAAGCAGAGTAAGAGCTAACATCTCCCTCCTCCTGCCCCCGCACGGCAGCTGGGGCAGGTGGGGGAGGTGCAGGGACCCGCAGGGAGGGAGGGCACAGAGGGTAAGACCAAACTAGAATCAGGGCAGGACCCTGCACTGCAGCCTCCACCCTCGGGCCCTCCCAGCCCTCCTTCTGGCTCTGGACATTGCTACAGCATCTCCAGGAGTGTGTGTGCCCTTCGAGGCTTCTTGGGGCTTCCTGAATGATGGCCGGGAGGGGAGGGAGGAGGCTCAGCAGGGGATATGATGGGGAGAGGGGCAGGGTGAGGCTGCAGTGAGTCGAGGGACCACCGTGTGTGCAGCTGGCTTCCCTCCATCTCACCTTATCCCTCCCTCTCTGCACTGACGTCCAGACAGCATCCTCCCCCAGCACACCACCACCCCAGGAAGCGGCAGGCAAGGCAGAAACATCTCAGGGGACACAGTGAGGACCAAGCACCCCACTCCCTCCTTCCTCAGGGATGAGGAAACAGGGCGAGGGGTGGAGGGGGTAAGGGAGGCCAGCTCCAGGGAACTGGTGAGGTCTTGCCTACAGAAACCCCCAGCACAGCTCACCTGCTTCCTGGGTCTCTCACAGCCAGGAAAGCAGAGGTGGCGGTTGCTCACCTACACGCACAGCCACTCACCCGGAAACACACGTACACACACTCCACAGGATCACAGACATCATGCAACCAGACACATATGCACACACACATACACATGCTTGCATGCATAAAGTCAACACGCTCACACACAGGTGCCACACACATACGCAGCTGTATGCACTCCCCACCATGCACCCTTCTCTGTCCACAGAGGGAGCCCCCCGGCCGTGTTTGATTGGTTTTTCGAGGCGGCCTGCCCTGCCTCCTTGCAGTCCGGTGAGCGGGAAGCGCAGAGAAGTGGGGAGAGGTTGGGCTTGGTTGGAGGGGTGGGGTCATGAGCCTGGAGCCCAGATCTTAGAGGCCTACTCTCTCCACCCCCTCCCAGATCCCCCCATTCTGTGGCAATTCCCCCCGGATTTCAGAGACCAGGTATGCGGACCAGCTCCTTGCTCCCCAGGGGTGGGGCCCCAGAGCCCAGGGAGGGGCCAGCAGCACCTGTGTCTCTCTCCCTCCCTCAGGAAGCTGTGCAGATGGTGCCCAAATTCTGCTTCCCTTTCGACGTGGAGAGGTAAGAGCCCAGGTGCAGGATGGGAGTAATAACACGTTAGCTCCACCTCCTGAGGGCGTGTCTAGAGACTACCATATAGCTCCACCTCCTAGGGGCGGGTTTCTGCTGAGCCCCGCCTCTTTGGGGGTGGAGTCCCTGGAAATGGGTTCATCCTGAAGGAAGATTGCATACTGTGGGCAGCCCTGACCACCAGGAGCCTGTGTAAGCAGGGACCAGGACTTGGGAACAGAGAACATCAAGGCGATTTAGGACATCAAAGGACATAGAAAAATTAGGGATGCTGCTACCTAGAGATGTCCAGGCATTTGACACTGCAGGACCAAGACAGGAGAAGCAGGGCACAGTGGCAGAGGGGGAGAGGGGGAGGGGGTGGAACCCTGCTGGGACAGGTAGGGGAGGAACAAGATGCGCAGGTCTCTGGGGATGTCTCTGTCACCTGCAGGGAGCCCCCCAGCCCCGCCGCTCAGCACTTCACCTTCGCCCTGACCGACCTGGCTGGCAATCGCAGATTTGGTTTCTGTCGCCTTCGCGCTGGAGCCCAGAGCTGCCTCTGCATCCTCAGGTGAAGATCCGGGGAGGACTTTAGCCTCTGTGTGTGTGTGTGTGTGTGTGTGTGTGTGTGTGTGTGTGTGTGTGTAGGGGGCTGCGTGGAACCTGATTCCTCTCCCCGCAGCCACCTGCCTTGGTTCGAAGTATTCTACAAGCTACTGAACACAGTGGGGGATCTCCTAGCCCAGGACCAAGTGAGATCTGTAGCCTCCACTTTTGCTTACCACCCCGACTCCCTAGCCCTGGGCCTAAATGCTCACCCCTGACGCAAGCACTGTCTCTCCCAGCACCCCAGGGAGGCATTTCCTGGCTCAGACACCCTCCCCATCCCACCTCAGCCCTGCTCCGGTACCCCACCCCTTCCCAGGTATCCGAAGCTGAGGATCTCCTGCAGAACATGCAACAGCAAACCCTGCCTGGAAACCGGGGCTCCGCAGGGTTGGGTCTGGTGAGTTGACCCCCGCAAGCCCTCAGGGTGTTGGAGCAGCACCCCAGCTTCCTGAGGAGGACCCACACAGCCACCTCTCCCCCTCTCCCAGGGCGACGGAGTGCAGGTCCTGCCCCCTGCCCCCGGGACGAGCAGGCCGGTGAGCGAGGCAGGGGAGTGCAGGGGTGGCGGGTGGACATTACCAGCCCATGCTCCAAACCCCCTCCCTGATACGCATGTCCCCACCAGCTCTCCTGTTTTGTGGCCCCGAAAGCGGACCGCCTGCCCTCCATCCCTGAAAACGTGAGTTGGGGGTGGTTCTGGGAAGTGCGAGCCCGGGGGTGGCAGGAGAGAGGGGGCTGCCAGATGCCAGAGCTCCTGTGTCCCCCCAGCGGAACCTGACAGAGCTGGTGGTGGCTGTGAGAGATGAGAACATCCTGGGGCTGTTCGCCGCGCTGCTAGCTGAGCGGAGAGTTCTGCTCGTCTCCAGCAAGCTCAGCACGGTGAGAGGGGCAGCCTGAGGATGGGGCCACAGACGGGCTAGCTCTAATACCACCACGGTGGACGGCAGGAGGTTCCACCCCTGGGAGGGACATGCAAAGCTCCTCCTCCTTTGGGGCGGGACTGTATCAGGCTCCACCTCTCTATGAATATGAGGAGATCTGTTTTGGCCTTAGCTCCTCTCCTTGAGGAAGAATGGGAGTAATGGTAAGGTTAGCTCCACGTCCTGGGGGCGTGTCTAGAGGCTGCATTATAACCCCACCTCCTGGGGGTGTGTCTAGAAGCTGTCTTATAACCCCACCTCTTTGGGTTCAGTGCAGTAGCCTGTTGGCTAGGGTCCTCACCTTGCAAGCCCAGGATCCCATATGGGCTCTGGTTCTGGTCCTGGCAGCCCCGCTTCCCATCTAGCTCCCTGCTTATGGCCTGAAAAGCAGTCAAGAATGGCTCAAGGTCTTGGGATCCTACACCTGCTTGGGAGACTGGGAAGAGGCTCCTGGCTCCTGGCTTTGGATTGGCTCAGCTTTGGCTGTTGAGGCCATGTGGGGAGTGAATTGTTAGCAGATGGAAGACCTTCCTCTCTGTCTCTCCTCCTCTCTGTATATCTGACTTCCTGACCCTGAGACTCCATCCCTGCGTGTCCCCAGCTGACTTCGTGCGTCCACGCATCCTGCGCACTCCTGTACCCCATGCGCTGGGAGCACGTGCTGATCCCTACACTGCCCCCACACCTGCTGGACTATTGCAGGTGAGGTCCCGTATGGCTCCATGCGAGAGGGGTGTGAGGGCCCCGGGGGGGGGGGGGGACAGCACCTGCGTGACCTTGCACCCTCCACCCACAGCGCACCCATGCCTTACCTCATCGGAGTGCACGCCAGCCTCATGGAGGTGAGCCCAGCTCCCCCAACGCACCCGCCCGGCATGGGGTGGGGGGCGGGGAGTGCAGAAAGAGAGAGCACCCTCCCCCAGGCCTGGACCCCTCCCTCGCCGCCCACCCCTGCACGCCCTCTCTTCGTGCCCCGCAGAGGGTGCGGGACAGAGGCCTGGAGGACGTGGTGGTCATGGACGTGGATGCCAACACCTTGGAGACGCCGTTCGACGATATAGGGGCCCTGCCCCCAGACGTGGTCAGTCCCTCCCCCACCGCCCTGCTCCGCGGGGAGACCCCCAATCCCGCGCACCTGCCACCCCTTTTATCCCACCACCACACCTCCCTCCAGGTGTCCCTACTGAGGTTGAGGCTACGCAAGGCCGCGCTGAGCCCCGGGGAGGGGGTGTCCCGGCTGTTCCTCCACGCCCAGGCCCTTCTCTTTGGGGGGTACCGCGACGCACTAGTCTGCAGCCCAGTAAGTTACAGTTGCAGGGCGGGGTAGGGAAGGGGCCTGTGCTCCCAGGAGTAGCTGGCCATAGGGGACACTGGACTTGAGGGCTGGGAGGTGGACACTGCGGGATCCCAGGGAACCAAGGCCAGAGGTCTCAGGGGGCTCACTTACATCCATGCCACCCTTCACGCCCCACTAGTGCACCCCGGAGTCACACCCCAGCCCTGCTGGGCCCAAGGCTCTCCCCTCCTCGCGGGCAGCCCAGCCAGCCAAGGTGGCAGATGGCAGGATGCAGAAAGTCGCTGCGGGCGGAGGGAGCTCAGCATGTGGGGTCCCTGCTTCCAGGGCCAGCCCATCACCTTCAGCGAGGAAGCCTTCCTGGGCCAGAAACCTGGGGCGCCACTGCAGGCCTTCCACCGGCGGGCTGTGCACCTGCAGCTGTTCAAACAGGTGCGCGCTGAGTCTGTAGGGGCGGGACTGAGGGCGGAGCCTTGGGGTGAGGCACAGACTTGGGGTGTGGCTGGAGACGGAGTCTCGGGGTGTGGCCTGGGTGCCCCCTTGGGCTGGGGCTGGAGAGGTTCTCAGGGGATCCCCCATTTCAGAGTCTTGCGGTGAAGGCTTGAGTAAGAACCCTTGGTTACCAATTCGAAAGCCTCCGTCTTTGAGGTTCTTGAGGACCTGAGCAGGGGGGCTGATGAAGATGGGTTCCAATTCCCAGTATCTTCCTGGTTCCAGACTTGGGGGGGGGCGATCTATGCAAGACCTCCCCCCCTCTACTTCTGGTGCAAACTCCTGGATCCTGGGAGAGGGGACGGGAGCTGAGCAGGACTCCCAGGCTTCTTGAGCTTGGGGATTGGGTCCTAAGGTCGCTGAGGTTAGGTCCCTGGGGCACCAGTCCGGACTTGGGGAACCAGAAGGGTTGGATGTCTGGTGCTGCTGTGGCTTGAGGACACAGTGGATCTTAACACCCGCCCCCCCCCCCCCGGGCTGTTGTGCCCATGCATGTCCCACCTTCCCTCCCCAGTTCATCGAGGGTCGGTTGGAGAAGCTCAACAGCGGGGAGAGTTTCGGAGACCCCTTTGAAGAGCAGATTACCTGTTGCGGATCCTCCTCAGGTGACCCAAGCCTGGCCCTGGCGGTGCGGCCGTCCACCCTTCGGGCGCCCACAGCCCAGACCTGCCTTTGATGACAAGCTCCTGCTTTCTCTCTTCCCAATCCCCCCCACCCCCAGGCGGCATCCGCTCCTACCAGCTCTGGGCCGACAGCCTCAAGGTAGTTATATCTCACACACACATAGGTCAGAGATCCCCACTTGGGACCCTGGTAGGGCTCGTATTCAACTAGCAACGCAGAGAGGGGGTGCTGGGACCCCGGCCCACCTCTCCCTCCTGTGTCTTCTCTTCCCAGAAGGGTGGTGGTGCGCTCCTGAACTCGGTCAAAACTAAAACACAACCTGCTGTCAGGAACATGTACCGCTCGGTAAGCCTGGTCCTGGAGGAGGAGGGGTTCCTTTTAACCCTGCCTGGGGAACTGGACTTTCAGAGTCTATTGGAAAAAGTGTTGTGTGTGTGTGTCTGGGGGGGTCTTCCATGGGCTGGTGCACACCCCAAATGACCACAGAGCTGGACTAAGCCAAAGCCAGGAGCTTCTTCTGGGTCTCTCACGGGCAGGTGCAGGGGCCCAAGGCTTTGGGCCGTCCTCCACTGCTTTCCCAGGCCACAAGCAGGGAGCTGGATGGGAAGTGACACCCCCACAATACAGGATGTGACCTTTGCAATGACACAGTTCCCCCTGGTGAGGGCTGAACATTTTGGTCCACAAGAGGCATTTATTTACTAAAGTGCAAATGATCAATCGTAACCAGACATGGGAACCCGTGGAGAAGTCTTCCCACTTTTATTGGCCATTGATCGCTCCCACCCTGGGGCCAGGATCATGTCCTGCCCACTGACACGCGACAGCCCAGGTCTACCAGCCACCCCCGTTCGGCTGTGGCAGTCCCAGCCGTGATCACCAGAACTGTCCGCACGTTGCTGCGCTCCGAGACAGGCAGGCATTCCCAGCAGCTGTTTCCACCGCTGTCCATTCAACTTTGGAATGTTCCTTCCGTCTTTGCCAAAGAGGGGGGAAGAGCAACGTTCGTCTTCACTCTTTAGGTGGCACAGGCCACCTTGGGCCATTTTCGCAGACAGACAGATTCAGGGTTGAGCGTGTCCAGGGCCCAGGGTCTGGTCAGTCTTGGGGCTCATTAACCCCTTGTCCTTTCCCCTCTGCCCTCTCACGCTCCGCAGGCCAAGAGCAGCTTGAAGGGTATGCAGCATCTACTATACAAGGTAGCACACCAACCCCAATGCCACCCCTGCCCCACAACACAGTGGCCCATGCCCTCAGGCAGGGAGACCCATAGGGGCTTGCATCTGAGTCTCCCCTTCCCTAGGAGGGGGACCCCATCCTGCAGAGGGGCGGCTCCTTGAGGGTTCCAGCCCCTACCAGCCGCTCGGACCGCCTGCAGCAACGCCTGCCCATCACCCAGCACTTCGGACAGGTAGAGCTGCCGGTTCCTCCACGCCCACCCCTCCCCGATGTCGCTCCCTCCCGTGGCCCCTGCCTACCCCTGCCTGGTCTCCCCCATCTCTTCCCCTCCCCCAAGCAGAACCGGCCCCCCCGCCCCAGCAAGAGGCACCGGCCAGAGGAGCGGCCACCTGAGATCTCAACAGAAGGGTGAGTAATATTCCGAGGTTGGAGGGGTGAGGTTGGAAGAGGCAGGTAGGGGCTGATGGGTAGCTTGTCTGGTCCTCCCCCTCTTTCCCGCCTCTCCCAGGACACTCTCCTCCTTGAGCCCCGAGGAGCAGCCAAGCCCCTGGGCGGAGGACACCCTCGACAACAGCTTTTTGGGGTCCGGAGAGGAACTCGACTTGTTAACCGAGATTCTAGGCAGCCTGAGCGTGGGAACCGACAGCATGGGCGGGCTGAGGCCGAGCCAAAGCTTAGACTGTTGTCACTGTGGGGATCTGGACGGTAACTTCAACTTGGTGAGCTACGCCCCTCCCCTGCCCAGCCAAGCCGCCTCACTCACCCGCACAGCCTGCCAGCTTCCCTCCACTAAAACCCAGGCCTTCCTTGCCTGCCCAGCCTGACACACCAGCAAGCGGAAGATGGGCGTCAGACCATGGGGACCCGGCTCAGCCTCTCTCCCTCTCGGTGCACCTGTCACCGCCACCTGTGCAAGCCGTGTGCCCATCAGGGACCCCCTGTCCCCAGCTGCCCATGGAGACTCACCAGGACATGGCTCCTGCACCCCCCAGCAGCCAAGGGGACCCCAGACCCCCTGACCTCACAGAATCCCTCATCCTGCGTCTCTCCCCTCCCCAAGAAGCAGCTGAAGATGGTGGAGCCTGGGCCACTGCAGTAGCACCCACCCAACACGGCCCTCAGCTCCCGACACCCGGGACCTCCGTCCAGCCTTGTAACCCTTCCTTGGATTCCGGCTGCCCGGACAATCCCAGAGCTCCGCTCCCCAAGCTGCCGCTGGAACCTACCCATCCCCAGCACCCACCTCCAGAGCTCAGGGGGGCCTCTACGGCCGCTGCAGCCCCCATCAAAAACAGGCAGGAACCCCAAGTGAGGAGCCAGTCCCGCGTGGCTGACCTCAAAAAGTGTTTTGAAAGCTGAGAATCCAATAAAGCTATCCGAACCCAAAGCTGCTTTGTTCCTGATCAGTTTGCCTGAGACCAAAATCCCGCACCAAGGCCCAGCTGCACAGCCAAGGTCAGCCCCTGAGGTGCCTCTTCGGGGGTGCGGGGTTATCTCCCCAGAAAACCCTCCTCCTCTGTCCCCTGAGATCCTGGCCACCTGCCTTGCCCACCCAGGCTAATGCCCGCATGTTCCAGCTAGAAAACCATCTCTCTCTCTCTCTCTCTCTCCCTCCCAGTTTTATATAAATATACAAAAGGGTACAGCCCCACCCTCCTTCGCCCATCAAGGCAAGGATTTTGGAAGCACCTATTGGCTTAAGCACTGAGTGAGACGGGGGAGGGTCCAGAGAGGCCCCCCTGGTCCCCTGCCCAAGGCCACACAGCAAGAGGAGAAAAACAGAAGAGGGACCTAGATGGGCAGGCAGCCCCGCACCGGCTCCTTGGAGTCCTGAGGGGCCTGCGCCTCGGCCGCATGGGAGAACTGAAAAAGAGGAGAGGAGGTTATCGGGGCTGACCCGGGTGGGCGCGAGGCAGACCGAAGACTCTCTCGGGAGGCACCGGCAAGCAAGGAGGGAGGTGGCGGGGGAGGTCCCCAGCCCCTCTCCCCACCAAGGCAGGCTGAGGTGGTGTCATTGTAGGTGCCCCCCCTCAGCCCCACGCCCTAGTCCTCCAGTGCCTTCAGAAGCCCGTGGTGGTGCTGGTGGTGTCTGGGCGGTGTGAAACATGCGCACCGGGCAGTCCTGGGCAGCGGTGTCGGCTGCAGCAGCGGGCAGCCCCGGTGGTCAGATGAGCCGCTCCTCAGGGGGCAGCTTGAGGTTGGGGGGCGGCGGGGCGCGGGCACCCACCTGCTCCTCACTGCTGGGCCGGTAGGTGCCCTCTGTCTGTCGTTTCTCCTGAAGCTTCCGCACCAGCAGGAACAGCAGCACCACCACGATGAGCACCCCCAGGATGGAGAAGACCACAATGATGGCGGTAATGGCGCCCTGGGACTGGGGCGTGGGACCAGGCGTGAGGCTGTGGTTTTCCTCCCTCCCTTCATTCACATACACTCCCTTGCCAGCTTGGTGACCCGGCCCCTGCCCTGTGCTATCCACACATCCCCCCCACCCCACCCTTCCCTGTACACCACACACACACACACACACACCCTACTCCCAGCCACCACTGCACCTGCCCGCTTCCTGTGGGGAGGGCATGGGGCGGGGCCCTTGGTCTTTCTGCTCTCTTCCACTTGGAACTTAAATCTAGGGGCACCTGTCCTTTGCACCCCTCCGCTCCCCACCCCCTCGCAGGCACCCCCAACTCACCAGGCCCCCATCGGAGCTGGGACCCGTGGGTGGAACAGTACTGGTCTCATTCGCCAAAGTGGCCGTCGCGCTGGTTTCTGGGTGTACAGGATTAAGTCAGCCCTCCCTCTCTTCCTCCACCACCCTTCCCCTCCCATCCCCTCCCATCCCCCCACAGCCTTCCCTCAGCCCTCTCCCCCCTCATAGCCCCAGGCCCCCCCCCAAGGGCCTAGGCTCCAAGGGCCCAGCGGGTGGTGGGGGGGTTGGGATAACCGGTTGGTAGAGCTGGAAGCTGTTATCTTAAGAAAATCACCCCTCCCACCCCGCTTTCACCTCTTGGGCCTGGGGGCCTTAAGGATCCAGGCAGTGCCTGCCCTTCCCCCAGGCTCCCGAAACTGAAGTAAACTGAAAGAATGAATAGCATGCGGGTGCACACACATGGTCCCAGCGCCTCGGGGAACCGCACCGCCGCCCCTGGGCTCAGGCCTCTGTCCCCAACCCCAAGAAGACACCAAGCCTGGGTGACAAAGGTCTCTGGCCCCTTATCCCTAACTCTTTGGGTCTTCCCCCTGCCCCACTGCCCACCTACCCCACGAAGGTTCAACACCGACCCAGGAAGCAACTAAGATATTCCAACTCTGACCTCTCTTCCCACAAGGCACTCCAATCCCAGCTCCCCAAATTCCGGAGCACCAGGCACTTGCAAGCCCCGCCCTCCACCCCACCTCTCCAAGCAAAGAGAACCAAGGAATCCGGACCCCTCCCTGCTCCCCGCTGTGACCCTCCGGCTCGGCACCTACCTTGAGCCCAAGCTCGGCCCCAGCGGGTCAGCAGCAGCGGCAGGCCGAGCGCCAGGAGCAGCCCCAGCGCCGAGATCGCCATGGGCTGGGGCGCCGGGGTGGTGGAGCCGAACACCGGGCTTTGGGAGCGCGCCACTCCTACCGCATCGCGAGCCGCCGGCTTGGGGGTGGGAGTACCTGCCACTGGGTACCTGGGCGCCCGAGAAGGGAGGAAATGGGAGCTTGTCGGGGAGGGGGGAAGGGGCCGGTCCCGGGCGACGCGCACCAGGGCACCCCGCCCCCGCCGCCGGAGGTCAGAGATTAAAGATTAACTCCCGGGCGCGCGTTCCAGAGCCAGGGAGCCGAGGTGGTGAAGGGGTAGGAGACGGGGAGCCGCCGCCGCCGGCCTCCTTACCTGGCCCGGGCGCCTGGATCTCGCCGCGCTGCCCTGTCCGCGTCCCTCTCCGTACTCCAACCTTGCTCAGTCGGTCGGTGCTCCGACCCCCACCGGCCCCGCCCGCTCATGTGACCCGGAAAGTTTAGTCACTCACCTGGGACGGGAGCGCACTTCCGGCTGGTGCACCTGAGCCTAAAGGAGCGAGGGGCGGAGTCCGGAGAAGGGGCGGAGCCCAGAGAAGGCGCACCTGTAACGGCAACCCGATTCCATCCTTGGAGACGCGCACAGGTGCAGAGACGCACGCACGCCCAGCGGGAAGCACGAGGCACTCGGGCCAAGGGGCAGACGGAGAGAGAGACCCGGAGGGGAACCGACCTGCGGAGAAGACACACGCGCACAGAAGTTCACGCACCACCCGCGCGGAGCCACAGGTGCGTGGAAACCCTCTGCCTTGCACGGCCGCTGCGCCATCACGCACTTCTGTCCTCGCGCAGCGTGCGGTTCACGGAGTGCACCTGTATGGGGGGCGGGTGGGCAGAGTGCGCGCGGCTCCCCGACTGGAGATTCTGGGTGAGCAGGGCGATTGGAGCAAAGCACGGGTTGGGGAGAACTCGGCGGGGACAAACTTTCCCTCCTGGCAGCGGCGCCTGCGAAGAAAGCTATAAATCTTGGTGCTGGGGGACTTTGGAGTTTGGGATATCCCTGTGTCAGCGAGCGCGCGCACACACACGCCTGTCTGCACAAAGCTGGGTGGGAAACCAAAAAGAAAAAGAAAAAGAAAATGTGCATTTTTTGGCAATGAAAAACTGGGCAAACGGAGACTCTACGATGGACTATGTCAATCAGTGGATTCTTCAGTGACCTCATCGTGCCTGGGAGGACGGGGCGAGATCGGCAGCAATTCATAACTGCTGAACTATCAAAACCTCTTGAGCAAGACCCTCGGAGCATGCCCCACATCAGGGACCTGGGGTGGGTGGGAGACTGGGTGGGGCTTCTCCCTCAATATCCTCCTTTACCTCAGATACATGAAGGAAAGGAAACAATGTGGAAATAATCGTCTGACCCACTTTCCTGCAGCCCTAGAACCTTTTCACCCTAATTAACTATGTAAAGATTGTCAAAAATGTAATTTTTTAAAAAAATGGAAAAGTTCTTAAAAAGAAAGAAATGCGCATTTGTGGGTGATTACAGTCCCCACCAGCAGCTGCGGGGGGGAAGCATGGTGGCGGGGGGGACAAGCGGTGGAATTCCGCCCGGGATGTGTGTGGGAAGATGGCTAGGGGAGGGTCCCACATTCTCGGGAAGTCCTGGGGACACACACCCCCTCCTCCTCTCCAAGCTCCAGTTTACCAAGCTGGAATGATCCAGTGCTGTTTACCTTTTGGGGCGAGGGCCGGGCACGTCCCTCGTGTGGCTGAATCGCTCCGGTGTCCAGCTAAGCTGTCCCTCTTCCTCCTAACTGGGCAGGCTGGACAACTGCGCCCTGCACGGGTGGGCGGGACCTGCAGCAGGTGCACCGAGTGGGCGTGAGGTCCGGTGCCCCGACACCCCGACTTCATCGTCCTCCCTGTGGAAGGGCTGCTGGTGGGGGGGGACACCCCAGTTCCCGTGGAACCCCCACCACCACCTCCAGCGGTCAGCCCGCCAGCCCCCCACCCCGGCGTGCGCGGCTGCGGCCCCTTTAAGACGGGCGGGACGGCGGAGGTTCAAGGCTACCCAGGGTCAGGCGGGAGGCTCCGCCTAGGAGGGAGGACGGGGGCGGGGCGGACGGGCGCCGCTCCGCCCGCCTTGGCCAATCAGAGCGCGACTTGGCGGCCTCTCCGCGCGCTGATCTTGCGTTTCTCAGATCGAGACTTGGAGGCGTGCGGGCGGGAAAAAAAAAAAAAAACCATACACACACACACACACACACACACACACACACACACACACTCTGGGTTGATTTTGCGTTTGAGGTGCTGCGGGCGGGCACAAAGACGCGCGTGGTGGCGCAGGGGGTTGAAAAGACGATTAGGAAAAGGAAACGGGTCAAGTGCAAAACAGATTAGCAAACCCAGCCCGTTCCCTCTCCCCGCCTCCCCGGGAAGGACGGGGGAAAAAAAAAAAACACATGAAAGGGTAAACTGAGGCATGCATAAACGAAACCGCCACCCCACCCCCCAGTCCTCCGAATAGTAAACCCCGGATATCTCCACCACCATCATCAGGAGAACCCTCGGGGGGCTGCCCTACCCCGGGCATCCCTCCCCACGCCCCCAGCTCCGCCCCCGCGCGCGGGTCGGGGTGGTGGTGGGGGGTGTAGGGGGAGGAGACGGCCGTCCTGGCGCGGGCGGCGACGGCTAGCAGTTCTCGCCTCCTTCTTTTGCAAAGTGCCGGGGAAGGCCGGCTCTCTGGGAAAGGCTGCACAGCCCGGGGAGGGAGCTGGCCCTGCGGGGGTGCTCCTGGGGGGGAGGGGAGGGCAGGGGGCGCCCCCCTCGTGCCTCCCCCGCCACCCTGAGGCCGCGGCCGCCCCTCCCCCCCGCCCACCCACCCACCCCGGGGCAGGAGTCATGCGGGGGGGTGCCGGCGGCGATGCAGAGAAGCAGCAGCGCTGGGGTCGCCTCTTCCAGGAGCTAGACATTAACAAGGATGGCCGCGTGGACGTGCACGAGTTGCGCCAGGGCCTGGCCAGGCTGGGCGGAGGTGACCCGGATCGCGGTGCCCAACAGGTAAACCCTTGTCCTGCTGGGATGCAAGGCCCCTCCTCACCACCCACCCACCCACCCACCAACACGGGCACCTCACGAGTGCCAGTGGCTCTCCAGGGTGGGGGGCTGGCTGGCTGGCTGGCTGGCTGGTCGCCACCTGTGGCTGCTGGCCAGAATCTCCTCCTCTCTGCCTGTCCCCTGCCCCACTGCCCACCCTCCACCCTACAGGCGATTGCACCTGCCACCCTTCTCATCCCCAAAGGCAGGACACACCCTCCTCCTGAGGACTACCCCACTTCCGGGAGACACACCCTCCTGTAGCCACCACCACCCCCACCCCGGGCACCCTGACTGTCTGCTCCAGACAGGGACCCAGTCCTGAGGTCACCCCCTTGCACCCAGCAGGAGTCACCCCTACCTGTGACTCCAGGTACTTCTGCCTGTGCAAACTCCCACTTTCTAGATGGAAATGTAGAGGTCCCATGGCTGGCTACCTGCCGCCTGCCGGGGACGGGTCACTTAACAACAAGACCCCCAGACAGACAAGCGGACAAGTGTCGCGAAAGGACAACCAGCTGGACAAACCTACCCCCCTCCCACAGTCCATCCCTTCCCCATCTCATGACCTTGAATGCAGACATTGACCTTGAAGGGCCTCAGTTTGCTGGTGGGCAGAGCTGAGCGCCCACCAGGGGCCTTGCGCCCATCCCTGCAATGGCCTTGGGCTTCCTGCTATGGGAGAAGACGGGTGTCCCCATGCTCCCCCCCACACACACACCTCCTCTAGGCACTGGAGTTGGTGGGAGGAAAAAAAAGGGGGGCAACTCTGTTACTTGCAGCCCAGGGGAGCCCCCAGCTGTCTGTCCCCCGCCAGGCCATCTCCCCTGAGGGTGACGCTGACCCAGATGTTGGACTCAACCTGGAAGAATTTTCCCAATACCTGCAGGAGAGGGAAAAGCGCCTGTTACTTATGTTCCGAAGCCTGGATCGGAACCAGGACGGTAAGGCCCACGGGCAGGCGGGCGGGCGGGCGGATGGGGGTGGGCCCGGCCCTGCTGGGAAGGCTGGGGTTGGGGTGGGGGGAGGGCTGGCATCTCCCTGGGTGACTCATGGCCTATTTCGGGAGTTCTCCTCACCCCCACCCCCCTTCACCACCACCCCAACAAGGTGTCGGGGGTGGTGGTGGTTCAAGGCCCCGCCAGCCCAGCCCACTCCATGTTCCTTCCTGGAAGGGGAGGATCCCCACCTTGGATTTTTCCCCCCCAAAGGGCAAAATCTGTCCCCCTCCCCAGTGGCATTCAGACCTGCTTTGGGACATAGACCCCCCCTCCCAGCTGCTTGTGGGTTCCCTGTGGCCTGGAGAACCCTGAGGTCATTCATTCGTCACAGGCCTTGCCCCTTACCCCCAGCCCCTCCCCACCGCCACCAATAACTTATACTTTCAGATCTCCTATCCTGACAAAACTCAGATCCTTGAGTCTGGCTCCACTCTGCCCCATTCCTTAGCCGCAGGGACCCTCACTGCCCCTACATCACACACGCTCAGGCACAGCCTCGCCCACCTCGGTCCCCCCAGGTCACATCGACGTCTCTGAGATCCAGCAGAGTTTCCGAGCCCTCGGGATCTCCATCTCGCAAGAACAAGCCCAGAAAATTCTGCTCAGGTAAACCTCGCCGGGGGAGGGTTGGGGGGGGAGGGTGCAGGACCAGGGGGGCACCGTGGGGCTCCGTCTGCAGAGCGGGGACGGGGAAGGCGGGCAGAGCTGCTCGGAGGGAGGTTGAGGGTTGGAGTCTGGCAGAGCCTGGGGGCAGCCACTGCCTCCCTCTGAGGGCCTGTCTGTAAAATGGGCATACGGATGCCATCTCCCTCCCCGGCATGGGGGGGTGGGTGTCTCCCGGTGGATGCTCCAAGGCTTAAAACAGGGTTTAGTGGCGTGGCAAGCTCTCAGCATGCTGGCAGAGGTTAGACTTAGGTCTCTCCACAAACCCGAGCAGCACCTGCTAGGCCCATCCTGGCCCACCTAGCCACCCGCTCCACCCCCGTGACCCTGAGCCATCTGTCTGCCCGTTGCCCACTCACCCACCCCCGCCCTCCAGCATGGACCGCGATGGCACCATGACGGTTGACTGGCAGGAGTGGCGCGACCACTTCCTGCTGCACTCCCTGGAGAACGTGGAGGATGTGTTGTTTTTCTGGAAACATTCCACGGTGAGCGGGGGCGTGGTGTGGGGGAGGGCGGGACCTGGTCGGGGTCTGTCCCCTGCTCTGTGACAGGCCCATCTGCTGGGGGGTGGGGCGGGCACAGGGGCTTTTGCGGACAGGCGTGTTGGGGTCTCAGGGGGACAGCGGGTAGAGGTGTGGGGAAGAGAGAACGCAGCAGATGGGGCTGCAGGTCCCCCACCCTCAAGCCATGTGTGCACGGCTTCCTCCCGTCCTGCTGGGCCACCTCACCGCCAACAGGATGCTGCTGTGGAATGGCAAACTTGGGGAAACCCCCAGAGCATGTCTTGTGAGGGTCCTGGGAGACGGGAGGAAGACAGGGAGGCGGTCACCCTGGACCCCAAAGTGTCCCTGGTGATGGGACCCAGTGGCTTTGGAAGGGAACTCATTGTGAGTTCTGAAAATTCCCACCCATCACCCCTACCAGCTTGCATGGGGGCCTTGACTAGTGTGGGTGGGCCCTGGCGGAAGCAGAAAACAGCCCTAGGAGGTCCGTGGAGGGAGGGGGTGTTTTCCAGTGGGGTCTTGCTTAGCCCTTCGTAGATATCTCATTAGGCTGCAGGAGTCTTTTTTTTTTTTTTTTTTTATTGGAAAGTCAAATATACAGAGATGAGGAGAGACAGAAAGATCTTCTATCCGTTGGTTCATTCTCTGAGTATCCTCAACAGCCAGAGCTGAGCTGGAAGGGAAGCCAGGAGCCAGGAGCCTCTGCTGGGTCTCCCACGCAGGTGCAGGGTCCCAAGGCTTTGGGCTGTCCTCCACTGCTTTCCCAGGCCACAGGCAGGGAGCTGGGTACGAAGCAGGGCCACCGGGATTAGAACCAGTGCCCATATGGGATCCTGGCATGTGCAAGGGCAGAGCTGAGCTCCTAGGCTATCGCACCGGGCCTGACTGGAACAGTCTTTATGAGGCAGGTGTTTGGGCAGGCTCCCGTAGCATGTGTCATGTTTTCTAAAAGGGACCTTAGGGCTATGCCAGGATGCTCTGGTGGGACACAAGCCGGGACCTCCCCGGCTCTCCCCAGGAATACCTCATTTGGACCCGAGCCCTGCCCTGCCCTGCCCAGCCCTGCCCTGCCCTGCCCAGTGGCCTGATGCCCACAGCACCTTTGCCCTCAGGTCCTGGACATCGGTGAGTGCCTTACAGTGCCCGATGAGTTCTCCCAGCAAGAGAAGCTGACTGGCATGTGGTGGAAGCAGCTGGTGGCGGGCGCCGTGGCAGGCGCTGTGTCACGGACGGGCACGGCCCCACTGGATCGCCTCAAAGTCTTCATGCAGGTGTGTTGGGGGGAGCTCTATGGGGGTGCAGCCTGGCCTGTCCCCAGCAGACCCGAGCCGGACAGACCCCCCCCACCCCCCCACCCCGACACTGCTTTGTCTTGGTGTTCAGGTTCATGCCTCGAAGACCAACCGGCTGAATATCCTGGGGGGTCTGCGTAGCATGATCCGCGAGGGGGGCGTCCTTTCCCTGTGGCGTGGCAACGGCATCAACGTGCTCAAAATTGCGCCTGAGTCGGCTATCAAGTTCATGGCCTACGAGCAGGTGCCGGGGTGGGGGGGTGGGGAAGGGAGAGGCAGGGGGCTGCACGTGGGTTAACTTGGGGTGGGGGCTTCCAAGGGGGAGTATGTCTGTCGCCTGCGTGCTGCCCATGGTAGGCCAGTCCCATGCCTGTGACCCCGCCCCCATCCCCAACCCTACCCCACCCCCCAGGAACTGTCATTTCCTGCCCTTCCCAGATCAAACGCGCCATCCGAGGGCAGCAGGAGACACTGCACGTGCAAGAGCGCTTCGTGGCGGGGTCCCTGGCTGGCGCCACGGCCCAGACCATCATCTACCCCATGGAGGTGAGGAGGGGGACTTGGCAAGGCACGGGGCGGCATGGTGGCTTTGCTTCTCCCGGATTCTGGCCACAGCTTGTGCGAACAAGTGCCAGCAGCCGTCATGGGTGGTGGTATTTTTGGCATGACGGTGAAGGGGGGGTGTTGTTTCTGGGTGTCTCTGTCCTCAGAGTTAGGGTCAGAACCCTCCAAGCTGGGGCCTGGGGTGGTGAGGGCTTCAGAATGTTGGAATTCTGGGGTGCTGCCTTCTGTCCACCACACTATGCCTACTGTGGCATCCATCTGCCTCATGGAGCAATGTGGCTGCTACTGCTCCCCTCATCACATTGAACATTCTAGCCACGACACACAGGCTTTCTGGAGGTTGTCCTTCCTTTTATTCCTTCCTACCTTCCTTCCTTCCTTCCTTCCTTCCTTCCTGCCTTCCTGCCTTCCTGCCTTCCTGCCTTCCTGCCTTCCTGCCTTCCTGCCTTCCTGCCTTCCTTCTTTCCTGCCTTCCTTCTTTCCTGCCTTCCTTCTTTCCTCCCTTCCTTCTTCTGGATCCTTGACCAGGACTTAGGGACTCGCCCCGGGGGAAGCTGAGAAAGTCTTCCTCCTGAGGGGCTGTGTACATGTGGAAAGGAAGAAAGCAAGTGCCATCCTGAGGTATGGGTGCCATCCTGGCAGGTGTAATGGTTCCTAGGTAGTGAGAACAGAAGGCTGAATCAGGCGGCTTGCCGTGTTTTTTAAATTTATTGTTATCCCTATTTTTTCCCATGATGGTTTGATAGGCATTTGATTTCCGCTCCGCATCTTTTCCTCGTGTTTTCACAGTAGCAAAGTCCTTTAGTAACAGTTGCAACTTTCACCTTCTGCTCTTATTTAAGTGTTTCCAGACATGGCAACAATAGCACAGTTAGAACTTCTAGAACATCATCCTTAGGCCACCTGCTTCCCGGGAGTCCCTGTTGAGGGTATCTTTGTTCCTGGGGTTGCAAGGGGTGTTCTGGTGGAAGGGGAAGCGGGGGAGAACTGCCTTTGCAAAGGTCCCACGGGGTGCCCACCCAGGTGCTGAAGACACGGCTGACCCTGCGCCGGACCGGCCAGTATCGGGGGCTGCTGGACTGCGCCCGGCGGATCCTGGAGCGGGAGGGGCCCCGCGCCTTCTACCGCGGCTACCTGCCCAACGTGCTGGGCATCATCCCCTACGCGGGCATCGATCTGGCCGTCTATGAGGTCAGTGGGTACCCCCCTGCATCCCCGGTCTCGCGTAGCCTCCTACAGGTTGTTGCGAAGGGGGCGGCAGCATGGAATCTTGGGGAGCCCCACCAGGCTTCCCCTTTCACTTTACCATGGCAAGATTATTTCTTTTTTAAAGATTAATTTTAATTGAAAAACCAGACTTACACAGAGGAGAGACAGAAAAATCTTCCATCTACTACTGCTTCATGCCTCAAGTGGCCACGATGGCCGGAGCTGAGCCAGTCTGAAGCCAGGAGCCAGGAGAGCTTCTTTTGGGTCTCCCACGCGGGTGCAGGGTCCCAAGGCTTTGGGCCGTCCTCGGCTGCTTTCCCGGGCCACAGGCAGGGAGCTGGATGGGAAGTGGAGCAGCCGGGACTTGAACCAGCGCCCGTACGGGATGCCGACAGACAAAGGCATTAGCTGCTGTGCCACAAACCTTTCACTTGCAAGTCACCCTTCCTGGGGCACCTTCAGGGTCCCCTGTGGCCCCCAGAGTCCTGAAAGCAGCAGACAACACCCCCCCCCACCCACATGCCTTTAGAATGTGTGGGAACCCGCCTTTCTCCAGGCCAATTTCTGAGCACAGCCATCACCATGGAAACCGTACCCCGTGACCAGCATGGTGGGGTTTGCGAAGAGAGGCAGGAATGAAGAAATCTTCACCGTTTCTCTCTGGGAGCTTTCTATTTTTTTTTCCCCCTGGGTGAGCCCCCCAGTTCCACCCAGTAAACACCAGCCTGGACATCCTAGAGAGAGAGAGAGAGAGAGAGAGAGAGACAGAGAGAGAGAGAGAGCCGGGTTCCAAATATACATATCTACATATGCCCAAGCACCTGGGGTATTCTCCGCTTCCTTTCCCAGGCGCATGAGCAGGGAGCTGGATGGGAAGCTAAGCAGCTGGGACGTGAGGCAATGCTGTCTTTGGAGGTGGTGGCTGTTGCCCGTGGTGGCACACCTAGAGAGACCACGGCTGGGGTACGTGGGCTCCAACCAAGCTTCACGTGGTGGGGCGTAGGATTGCACCCACGAACCCTCAGGGGTCGCACTCAGTCCCTCTCTGTCTCAACTTCCCTGCACCTGTTCCCTCTACCTGCCCTGCCCGGCTCTGGCCCCAGGCAACCACAGGAAGCCTAGCTACTGCTCACTCATTCATTTGTTCATGTGCTTAGCAACTATTTACAAAGCCCAGTGACTGGACTGGTCTGTAAGCGGGTAAAGCTTCCACCTGCAGTACCGGCATCCCATATGGACTCCAGTTCACATCCCAGCTGCTCCATTTCCCTCCCAGCTCCCTGCCTGTGGCCTGGGAAAGCAGTGGAGGACGGCCCAAAGCCTTGGGACCCTGCACCTGCATAGGCGACCCGAAAGAAGCTCCTGGCTCCTGGCCTCGGATCAGTGCAGTTCTGGCCGTTGTGGCCATTTAGGGAGTGAACCAACAGATGGAAGATCTTTGTCTCTTTCTTTCTAACTTTCAAGTAAAAAAAAAAAAAAAAAATAGGGTTTCTTTTCCAATGTAACAGCTGGGTGGGCAGTTAGCACAGGTGCCGCTGGCAATGCCCACAGCCCACAGCAGAGACGCAAAGTACAACAGAGCATCTGGGTTGTCCCCCGCTGCAGGGCTCCTGACCCCAGCTCGCCCACTGCTGCCCACCCTGCCCCAGGGTCCCTGCCACCTGTAAGGACAGTGCTGAACACCCTGCCTTCTTGCTGGGCTCCTGTGTGGCTGGTGGCAGGGCCACTCTAGCTCTGATGCCCATCAGGAGGCGGGGCTTGTCCTCAGCCAGTCACACCTGCTGGGACCCAAGGTCATGTTCTTGGGCAGTTGGAGCCAAGATCTCACCCCCACGTGGGTGTAACCGCCATGGAGCCGGGGTGGGATTCATTTCTTGGGGTCCCCTGGGAGGCAGCATGCAGCAGCCCCAGCCCCCTGGAGGGGGAGAGGGAGAGAATTTGGGGCACTAATGCATGGAACCAGTGGCTAGATCCCTCCAGGCCCTCTGCATGGCCAGGCGGAGCAGGGAAGGCTGCTGGCAGCTACACCAGGTGGCTCTGCAGGAAGTGGCTTCCCCAGGCCACAGCCCCGCGCCACCTCCCCCAGCTGTGTCAGCCACTCCCAGCCACCCCTCCTCCCTGAGCCTCTCTCCCAACTCCCATCTCCAGACCCTGAAGAACCGCTGGCTCCAGCAGGCCGGCCACGAGTCAGCCAACCCCGGCATCCTTGTACTCCTGGCCTGCGGCACCGTCTCCAGCACGTGTGGCCAGATAGCCAGCTACCCACTGGCCTTGGTACGGACTCGCATGCAGGCCCAAGGTGAGGCTCACCCCATGAGGGGTGTGGTGAGCTGCTGTCCGAGCTCGCTCATCCTGTCCCCTGGGGACTCGGATTCTGCCCCTCCCCCCAGGGTTTGGAGGGCCTCGGTTTACCCAATGGGACCCCTGGCGGGGATGGCTGAATGGAGCGAGAAAACAGGTGGCTTAGGGCCAGGCACCTGCTGTGATGGGGAAGCGGCAGGGGGAGGACTGGGGTTATGGAAGATCAAGGTCACGTCAGTGAGTGGGTGGGTGGGGTCTTTTCCACCTTTCTCTTTCCTGGCGGGGGGGGGGTTCCTTCTTCTGCCCACCCCACCCCCGGCTCTCCCCCTGGATCTGTGAGAATTTCCTTTGGGGAGGGACATTGGGTTAGTCAGTGCAGACTCCACAGGACTCCTGGATTCCTAGAGCTGATCCAGGACTGACTTGGGGTGAATGGGGGGAGGACAGGAGGAGCCTCATGGAGGTTGGGTGGGGCGCCACAAAGGGCTCCCCGCCTGCCACCCCAGCACAACTGTGGAAACAGAAGTTAGGAAGGGGAGTAGACAGAGGTTAGGAAAAGGGAGGGAGATGAAGTGGGAAGGGGGGGTGTGCCCACCATTGGACGGCACAGGCAGCACTGATTGCTGCCCCACCCCACACTCCCCCCTTGTGCAGGGTGGGCACGTGGCCTCACCCAGCCCCTCTCCTGTCCGTCCCCCTTGCCCCAGCCTCAGTGGAGGGCGCACCACAGCACTCCATGCTGGGCCTGCTCCGACACATCCTGACCCAGGAGGGCGTGTGGGGTCTGTACCGGGGCATCGCGCCCAACTTCATGAAGGTCGTACCGGCCGTCAGCATCTCCTATGTGGTCTATGAGAACATGAAGCATGCCCTGGGGGTCACATCCAGGTGAGGGACCCACAGCCTGTCATCCCCTCCCCCCCCGACACACACACACACACACACACACACACACACACACACACACACACACAGGATCTCTGAGCCACTGGAGATCAGCAACCTTCCCCAACCACCCCTCATCAACTTCACCCACTGGACCCCAACACCCTAGGTCCTTGAACCTGAAGGCTTTCCACACCCCAGCCCTGAGTCCTTGTCCCCTCCCTGACCCCACTGAGACACTGGAACCTGCACCCCAACAAGCCCAAAGTGGATCCCGCCCCCTGGGTCTTCACCACTGGATGTCCACCGGCCAAACAAGGACCTTGACCCCACAATCAGAGGGTCACACATGGACCCCCCATCCCCTCAGGGACCAGATCCAGTGTGTCCTCCCAGCCCACTGCCCCCTGCACACTGGGTCCTAGCTCCCCCTTGCCCTGAGATCCCTTTGCTCCGAGCCCTGCATCTCCAAGTTTCACCACTGCCGTCTGGATGACAAGAAACCTCAACCACTGGATCCCAGATCCCCCTCACTGGATCTCCAAATTCCTTTACCTCAACACTGGGTCCCAGATCCTGCTACTCCGGCTGCTAGATCCCAGCATTTCAAGCCTGAAGCCCTTCACAACCCACCCCACCCCAACCCTCCACCCCGTGGATCTCACATACCCAAACTTCCTCCCACCCCAAACCAGGATATCACCTGCACTGGATCCCTAAAATCTCCACAGTGGAAACCCACCCCCCCCCAAAAAAAAAAAAACCCAGCAAGTGGATCTGGCCACTGCTAGCTGCTAGATTCCCAATCTGACATCCCAAATCCCTTCACTAGATCCCAAGAACTGAACCCCTGGTTTCTAAGGGGATCCCCAAGGCCTAGAGCCAGATCCCCTACCAACAAGCCTAGACCCCACCCATCGGATGACAGAATCCTGGATCCTTTGCACTGCTCCCTACGGCCATGACGGGGTGGGTTTACCAAGGATCCCAAATCCTGGCCTGTGTCCTGTCCGAGAAGATAGAGGGTTCCACCCCCACACCCAGCCACACATCTGCCGAAGCTGCACCTGATCCTGTGGGGAGACACCCCTCCCGCTGCCCCCAAGCATCTGCCATGTCTTCCATCCATTTGTCTTCCAGCCCTTTCCCAACCCATGGGCAGATAGCTCCCCCTTGCCCAAACACACACACATGATGACCCAAGGGGCTCCATTCTGGGTGAGGGCGACCGGCAGAATTGGCAAGAAAACCCTGCTCCCAGGCCGCAGACAACACTGCCAGCCTTGCCCTAGCCTTTGCCCTAGTCGGACGCTGCAGGGGGGCGGGGAGGCCAGACCTACGGGGACCCACAGGGGCAGGCACCCCGGACCCCCGAGCTCACACTGCAGGGCTATTTTTCTACCAGAGAGAAGAGATGCATGCCACCCCCGCCCCACCCCACCCCTACCTGACCCTCGAACAATCTGCACTTTATACTTGGACGCTGAATTTAGGAGAATTGGGGGACTCTCCCCGTCCCCAGCTCTGCTCCTGCTCGTCAGTACCTTGGGGAACCCTACATTGAGAAATTGCGAAAGAGGAAGTGGAGGGGGCTGAAGGCCATGTCCCCCCTCGACCTTGTGACTTCCCTCCCCTCCTCACCTCCCTTGCCTGCCTGTGTTACTTCAAAGGAAAAAAGAGAACAAAAGGAATAAATTTTCTAAGCTCTTTGGTTGTTTTTTTGTTTTGTTTTGTTTTTGTTTTGTTTTTTTCACTGTGGGTGGGGAAGGACTGGTGGATGTGGCGGCCACTGAAGTTATCCTGGTCGGGGGGGGGGTCTCCCCATCTCAATCCTACACAGCTCCACCGGGCCAGAGATGACTACGCCCCCCACCTTGTTTATGACACCTGCCAATTTTCTCTGTATTTGTGCATTTATATTTGTGTCACAGATCTTCCATCCTCAACTGGCTGCAGCGGCTGCAGTTGGGCCAGGCCAAAGTTAGGAACCAGGAGCTCCATCCAGGCCTCTCCAAGCACTTGTCATTTGCTGCCTCCCCGTTAGTGCGGAGCTCAAACTGCCGGCACAGAGTTCTGGGGTTCATGCATATTGTGTCTGCTTATAAACTTTTTGAATATCCTGTATAACTTGAGAGGATGAGAGATAGGGAGGTAGAGTAGTAAGGATAAATGGATGGATGGGTGGATGGATGGATGGGCGGGTGGATGGATGGATGGATGGATGGATGGGTGGATGGGTGGATGGATGGATGGATGGATGGATGGATGGATGGATGGATGGGCGGGTGGATGGATGGATGGATGGATGGGTGGATGGATGGATGGATGGATGGATGGATGGGTGGGTGGGTGGATGGATGGATGGATGGATGGATGGATGGATGGATGGGCGGGTGGATGGATGGATGGGTGGATGGGTGGATGGATGGATGGATGGATGGATGGATGGATGGATGGATGGATGGATGGATGGGTGGGTGGGTGGGTGGATGGATGGATGGATGGATGGGTGGATGGATGGATGGATGGATGGATGGATGGATGGATGGATGGATGGATGGATGGATGGATGGGCGGGTGGATGGATGAGTGGATGGATGGATGGATGGAGGGGGGCAGGAGGAAGACATTGTATCTTTTACTGAAAGCATACAGGCTGTTTTACTTGTCACCCTCCCCCGTGTTTAGGGAAAACTATCTAACAAGACACTAAGGCAATGACGAAGTAACCCTGATCGTGACTTAGACGCCAAGCCCGCTACAGGTGATCTCAACTCTACGGGCAGGCATTCGACCCGGGCTCACGTCCTGACTTCAGTTCCCAGTCCCATCTTCCCATTAGCACAGGTTGTGGGAGGCAGGGCAGACAGCGCCCAGACTTTGGTCCCTGCCACCCAAATGGGAGACCCAAATTGAGTTCCCTTGTTGCTGATCCGGGCCTCTCACGTGGCTGGCAGGGCATCACAGGAACCCTGGGACTCCTGTGTGGGACCAGGTGTTCCAACCCATGTTTTAACCTCTGGGCCGACCACACAGCCATCCCACCCTCTCCCCCTCATCCCCACCTTCAGATTGCACCCAACTGGAAGCATCTTGGAGAGTCGCAGTCCAATACCCTTGCACTCCCAGGTTTGGGGGGTCTGAGGTGAAGCACCTGGAGCATGCGCAGTGAGGTCATGAGGCCTCCTCTATGACATCATCACTCCCAAGACCTCCAATTTATGTGGCGGCTGGTTCCTGCCACAAGCCACACCCCCGAGTGTGACAAAGGAAGGAACAGCACTCCCCCTCGCTCCAAACTGCCCCCATCCCCGTGTCCCAGCCTCCAGCCGCCATGAGCTCTCATCGCAACGAAGCTCAAAAGTCTTGTTCCAGGGTTCAGACCCTGCACAAGACGGTCCAGTCCGCGTTCCCCAAAGATCCCACCACCTCACCCGTGCCCTTGACTGCCTCCTGGAACCCCGGCTGCACACACGTGTTCGGCTACGTGTTTGGGCATGTGTCTGAGAACCATCTGGAACATCTCCCATCTCAACAGGTGAGTTGAGGCAGCCAGGGGTCTTCCAACACCTGCTGCTGGGAACGGGAAAGAGAGGTTCAATGAGAACTCGCCTACTGGTCTGGACCAGGGGCGGGCGGGAGGGGGCGGCACCTATAGCCTGGCTGGGCAAGGGCTGGCTGTGGCCCACAGGTTTTGGACACAGGAGAGCAGCTGATGGTTCCTGTAGAGGTCTTGGAGGTGGCCAACGAGGGAGCCTTGTGGAAGTTTCTGCTCTCGGGAGCCATGGCTGGGGCGGTGTCCCGCACGGGCACAGCCCCCCTGGACCGCGCCAAGGTGTACATGCAGGTATGCGGAGGGGAGGGCAGGCAGGGGCCTGGGAGTGAGGGGGTGGCTGGAGCTTGGGGTTGATGATGCTGGGGCAGGGGGGACGGGGGCGGAGTTGGACTCCAGAAGGAGCCAGGGAGGGTCTGGAGGGAATTCCCGAAGGCCTGCGGTGGGACTGGGGTGGTGGCGGAGTGATTCCCTCACAGCACATCTTCCCACCCCACCTGCCTCCCTGCCGCTCCCCTCCCCCAGGTCTACTCATCCAAGACGAACTTGATGAACCTGCTGGGGGGGCTGCGTAGTATGGTTCAGGAGGGGGGCATCCGCTCCCTGTGGCGTGGCAATGGCATCAACGTGCTCAAAATTGCCCCCGAGTACGCCATCAAGTTCTCCGTCTTCGAACAGGTGCCTACCCAAGTCTGGGAGATCCATCTCCCACACGTACCCTGGCGTGCCCTCTTCCCCTGGCTGGGCACAAGGGTGGGACAGCAGCTGGCTCCTGCCTCACTCTGCTCCCCTACCCCCACCCCAACGACCTTCTAGTGTAAGAATTACTTCTGCGGAGTGCACGGCTCCCCGCCCTTCCAGGAGCGCCTGCTGGCTGGCTCCCTGGCCGTGGCCATCTCCCAGACACTCATCAACCCCATGGAGGTAAGAGAATGGCCACTCCACGGGCAGGGACAGGAGGCCAGGCTGGGAGTTAGCTGCCACCCATCTGGAACTGGGTGGTCCTCCCTCTCCACTCCACTCCTCCTCCCCCCTCTCGCCACTCTGTCTTTTTTGTTGTTTAAAAGATTTATTTGTTTTTATTGGAAAGTCAGATATACAGAGAGGAGAAGAGACAGAGAAGAAATCTTCCACCCACTGGTTCACTCCCCAAATGGCTGCAACGGCCAGAGCTGAGCTGATCTGAAACCAGGAGCCAGGAGCTTCTTCCAGGTCTCCCACATGAGTGCAGGGTCCCAAGGCTTTGAGCCATCATGAACTGCTTTCCCAGGTCACAAGCAGAGAGCAGGATGGGAAGCAATGCCACCAGGACACAAACCAGCACCCATATGGGATCCTAGCGAGCGTACAAGGCAAGGACTTTAGCTGCTGGGCTATGGCACCAGGCCCTCCACACTTTATATTTTACAGAGGTATTTGAAAGGCTGAGGTATGTATAGAGAGGTCTTTCATCTGTTAGTTCACTCCTCAAATGATCAAAAGTGCCCAGGGTTAGCCGAGCAGAAGCCAAGGGCCCACAGCTCCATCTGGGTCTCCCACGCGGGTGGCCCGACCACTAGTGCTGTCTTCTGCAGCTTTCCTAAGTCCATTAGCAGATAGCTGGATCAGAGGTGGAGCCGCACACAGAACATGAACCGGTTTGATGTTTCAGGGGTTGGCTATACCCAGAACGCCACAACGCCGGACCCTAAGACTCCACGTTTTAGAGCAATTTGGGGTTTACCGGAAAAGGAAGCAGAAAGCATCCCCACAGTCCTCCGTGAGGACACACACAGCCTCCTGCAGCGGTAGGCGGTACTTTTGGTTACCATGGTGATGTATTGCTAACATCACGGCTGGCCTCTTGCATGTGTACGCTCTGCGGGAATTTTCAGAAAATATGTGTTTTTCCTGACTTCTCAGAAAGGCAAGCTGAAGGGAAGATGGAGAGACAGAACAACCTTCCACCTGCTCGTGCAGTCCCTCAGGGTCCCTAAGAGTCAAGGGCTGGACCAGGCTGGCGAGGGGCACTCCATCGGGCTCTCCCATGTGGGTGAAACGGCCCCACGAATTTGAACCATGACAACACACGCTGGGTTGGACTCAGATCCAGGCGTCAGGGTACATCCCCAAAGCCCCTTCCAGCCTCCTGGGTACCCTGTCCGTTCACCGCCACCTCCCAGCCTCTCCCTCAGGTCCCTGGACCCTCGGATCTCCTGTCACTGTCATATGCCTTCTTATGTTGGTTTTTGGAGCTTGAAGGGCATATTGTGTTACATTGCATTGTGTTTGCTTGGTCCGTTTCCTAGGATTTTATCCCATGTTGATATCATTTTTTTATTTTTAACAGGAACACAGACTTTATTTTTAAAGCTTTATTTTTACTGGAAAAATACGCAGAGAGGAGGAGAAACAGAGAGGAAAATCTTTCATCCGCTGGTTCACTCCCCAGGCAGCCACAACAGCTGGAGCTGAGCCCATCCGAAGCCAGGAGCCAGGAGCTTCTTCCGGGTCTCCCACGCAGGTGCAGGGTCCCAAGGCTTTGGGCCGTCCTCCACTGCTTTCCCAGGCCACAGGCAGGGAGCTGGGAGGGAAGTGGAGCAGCCGGAACTTGAACCGGCGCCCATATGGGATCCTGGCTCTGGGAGAAGGAGGATTAGCAAATTGAGCCATTGAATCAGTCCCAAAATGAACAAATATTTTAAAACACAGAAGAATAGAGGTTGATTGGAGATTCAAGAGTTTTTGGAGGTCCCGGGCTGGGAAGGTAGAGTAGGCAAGGGCCTTGTGCTCGGATGATGTCCTGGCAGAGCAGCTGGTGGGCAAGCAGGTGCAGGTGGGCACCCTGGTGGGCTGTGGGAGGGGGTGGCAAGTGCAGGCTCCTGACCCAGCCCCAGCTGTCACGCACGGTTGCGGGAATGAAACAGCAGATCTCTCTCTGAACTTTTTTTTTTTAATCTAAAGCAAGAGAGCCATGTGACCCAACTCTTCAATCTCTCTGACCTCCGCGTCAACTCCATCCCCAAAGGGCCCCCTGCCTCGGATTAGGCAGGTGGGGCGGATGTCCTCCTCTTGATGATATTAAGGCAAAGTGATCCGTAGACTTTAATGCTATCATAGCCCTAAGAATCCTGTCAAACCCGTGCAGCCCTTGCCTTCCCACACCCCATCCAGGCCCCAGGGTGAAGTTTCCTATCAGTTACAGAGGCTCCTGGGGGGTGGGAGCCACATGGAGACACGCCCTTATCACTGTATTTGAAAGGCACAGGCCTGGAGCAAAGACAGAGCTCTCCTAGCTATGGTTCACTGCTCAGATGCCAGACCAGCCCCAGCAGGGCCAGACCCAAGCCCATGCAGACTTATCCATGCCTGCGACAAGGGCCCAGAGGGCTTGAGGCAAGAAACTGGATTAGAAAGACAGATCTGGGGCCGGGAGCCATGCCGGCATCTCATGTGGGCAACCAATTCGAGTCCCAGCTGCTCGGCTTCCCAGCTAAGGCACCTGGGAGGGCAGTGGAGGACACACAGCCCAAGTGTGTGAGCCACGGGATTGCTCTCTCTATACAGCTCTGCCTTTTGGCTAAGACAAAGACCCCAGGCACTCTGGGATGAGTTGAGCTGAAATCCAGCCATGCATTTTTTTTTTCCGCTTTAAATTTACTCCTACTGAACAAGTTTTTTTTTTACCCCCTTGTTATTATTCCCTAAACAATACTGCATGGCAACTATCCTGCAGCGTTTACACCATGGGAGGTATCGCAGGTAACTGAACGTGACCAAGTACGCTCAGGACGACTGTGCAGGCTGCATGCCAAGAGTCCACCATCCTGGACGGGGGATTTGAGCATCTCAGGTTACCCACGGGGGACCCCGACCCAACCCCCTGCAGACACAGAGGGTAGACCTGAAATTAGGATGGGGTGCTGCTCTTTGGGTTCATCTTTAGAATGCAGCCTGCCTCTTTGGGTTTTGCAAAACTGTATACCCTGCCGCTGTCTGAATGTTGGGGACATTCTGTATGAATTGGGACGTCTGGTCATTTCCCTAGGAGATGGACAGAGCTGGCTGGCCGGGGCCTGGGGTCCCAGGGGGCACCAGGAGGCAGAAGCTGGGGAACAGATAAGGAAGACATCTGTCCACACACGCTCCCACCCCTGCCAGCCTTGGCTCACCTTCCCACCCTTTGTGTCCATGTGAACTTTGGCTCAGAGCATGGGGATGGGGTGGTAGCACAGTGGACTAGGCTACCCCTAGCATCCAGCAATGACAAAGCTGGCTTTCAAGTCTGGCCGTTGGCTGTTCCACTTAACACCCAGCAGCAGAGGATGGCCCAAGTGCTTGGGCCCCTGTCACACACAGGTGACAGGGAGGACCCGGGTGGAGTTCCAGGCATCGTTGGTTTGGATGAGGCGAACTTGAGGGGTGATGAACCACCCACAGATGGACAATTTCGCTCTGCCTTGCGAATTCTGTTGCTCCCTTCTGGGGGTGGGCTTCCCCCCTGGTCTTCTCCCCCCAAATCCAGTACTGGGACAGGAGGCTCATTCCATGTGGCTACACACATCCACATTTATGCCACCTTGCAGACTGTGCTTTCCCAGGAACTTTTAGGGGAGCAGCGATGAGGAGGGCACGGGGTCTAGGGGCAGCTGCCACCCACAGCCCACCGACACATCTTGCACAGGTACTGAAGACGCGGCTGACCCTGCGGCGGACTGGCCAGTACCAGGGGTTGCTAGACTGCGCCCAGCAGATCCTGCGGCGGGAAGGGACGCTCGCCCTGTACCGTGGCTACCTGCCTAATATGCTGGGCATCATCCCCTACGCTTGCACCGACCTGGCTGTCTACGAGGTGTGAGGCGTGCACGCCTGGAGGGGCAGGCAGGGTGGACACGCCCCACCCCTAGCCCCAGCCCTTTGGCCATTCCCTCCATCTCCTGCAGCTGCTCCAATGCTTGTGGCTCAAGTCAGGCAGGGACATGGGAGACCCCGGTGGCTTGGTCAGTCTGTCGTCCGTCACACTGTCCACCACCTGTGGACAAATGGCCAGCTACCCGCTGACTTTGCTGCGTACCCGGATGCAGGCCCAAGGTCAGCCTGCCCTCCCTATGTCTCCCCTCCCTTGGGGGGTGTGGTCACCTCGGATTGGGAAGTGGGAGGGGAAGAGGGGAGAGGGCCTCCCTCCTGCCCAGGCTTAGTTATTTGACCAAGCCTGCTTCTGCCCTCACCCCAATCCTACCCTAATCCCTCCTGAATTCTCTAAGTTTGCCCCGCCCTGTTTTCCGTGCAGACACCGTGGAAGGTTCCAAGCCCACCATGGGTAGGGTCTTCCGGTGGATTCTGGCCCAGCAGGGCTGGCCAGGCCTGTACCGGGGCATGACCCCCACGCTCCTGAAGGTGTTGCCTGCGGGAGGCATCAGCTGCGTGGTGTATGAAGCCATGAAGAAGACCCTGGGCGTGTAGGCCAACAGCAAGGAGGTGTGGGATAGCGGGGAGGGGGTCCCCAGTCACCCCCATCCACCCCCTAAATCTGCCGGCTGTCTAGGCCCTGGGGCGGGAGGGTGGCCGCACAAGGAGGCTGGATGAAAAGATTCCCAAGAGGAAGCCCTTCCGGTCTACACCGCGGGGAGTGCAGTGTAGACTCCACCAGGCTGGATGCCCGAGGCTGCGGGTCCAGGGTGGCTCCCAGGGCGGCAACAACATCGGTGAATGTGCAATCAGAAAATTAAAAAATGGACGTTGTTTGAGATGGGGAGGACCTCCAGGTCTCACTGTGTGGAATTGGGTGGCCTCACAACATGGCAGCCGGTGGCTCTGATCTTGGGAGTGTGTGGACCCATGGCAGGGAGGGGAGGAGGTCCCAGCAGATGTCCACCGAAGCTCGGGAACGCCCCGAGTCCCGAGGCCTCAAGCGGGCCACGTGCTGGGCCTCCCGAGGCGCGAACCCGGGGACTTGGGGAGGCCCGGCCAGGCTCGGTGGCCGCCCACGTCGGCTGCCATTCACCCCGTCTCCCCGTTGAGGCCGCTGCAGTTCCTTGCTTGCCATTGGTCCGCCACGGTGTCAGTCTCCTCCACACCCGCCCATGTCGCTTCACCATTGGCTGACAGGGCCCCGTGGTTCACAAGGGAAGCAGTCAGATCCGAATCCGACCTCATCCCCTAGAACTCATCCGGGTCCCATGGGCAAGCACCGCCTCCCCGCACGTCCTCATTGGCTCGTGTACATAGCTGTCACGTCGAGCGTCCGCCCAGCCAGTCCAAACGAAGGAGGTGGCGGGGCGGTGTCTTGGGGCTAAAAGTCCCGCCTTCCAGTCCACGTGACTCTCCTGAGCCGTCCATCTTAATCTCTGGCACCGCCCCGCAGTGGTGGAACTTACGCCTCATTGGCTCTTCCTGCTCCTCCGATCGCATCCCTGTGCCCGCCCCCTGCCAGCAGCGCGTCGTTCATTGCCTCCCAGAGCGGTCCGTCACCTCGTCACTTCCCGCCTACTGCCTCTTGCCACATTCCTATTGGTCGCTGCGCTCGCAGGGCTTGGGATTGGTCGTCGCGGGGGAGCAGCGGCTGCTTCGGATTGGCCGAGACGACGGCGGCGACGGCGGCGACGGCGGGCGGGGAAGCCGGGCCGCGCTCGCTCGCTCTCCTCCCTCCCTCCCTGCCCGTCGTCTGCCCAGCCGCTGGCTTTCCCAGAGTGCTCCGCGGCCGTGTGGAGCGAGGCCTTGTTCCCGCGTTGAGCCGCCGCCGCCAGGCCCGGGCCCTCCGCGCCATGTCCGACTACAGCACGGGAGGACCTCCGCCCGGGCCGCCGCCGTCGGCAGGCGGGGGAGCAGGAGGCGGAGGCGGCCCTGCGCCGGGCCCGCCGGGTGCGGGGGACCGGGGCGGCGGTGGTGGCGGTGGCGGTGGTGGTGGTGGTGGTGGTGGAGGAGGAGGAGGAGGGTCGGCCGGCGGCCCCTCGCAGCCGCCCGGCGGGGGCGGCCCGGGCATTCGCAAGGACGCCTTCGCCGACGCCGTGCAGCGGGCCCGCCAGGTGAGGGGGAAAGGCCACGGGGCCTCGGGCACGCGCGCGGGGGAGGGGGAGGCTGGGCACGTGCACGCGCACGGGGTGTCGGGGGGGGGGAGGGAAGCGAGCGAGCGAGCGCGCGCCTTGGAGCGCTCGGGAAAGCGGGGTGCACCGCCGGAGGGAGTCGGGGGACCCCGGCGCGTGACCACCACCCCCAGCACCCCACACACCCCGTTCCCGTGCAGCAGCCAGGCCGACCTGGAACCTGTTGGGATTAAGCGGGGGGGAGTGGTGCAGCCCAGGGACCACCTGAAAGAGGAAGCAAGGGTCTTGCTAGCTTATACCCTCCCACACACAAGAAAAAAAAAGTCACCACGTATCTTGGCCCGGGGCATTCCCCCCCCCCAAAAAAAATAATCCCAGTTGCCTTCGTGTAGCTTTCCCAGGACTAAAATGCTGTGGGAGGGGATCCGTGTGCCCTTCCCCCAGTCTAACGAGACCCTTTAAGGGCTTGTGGGGGGCTCTGGGTCGCTTGCAGGGCTGGAGCAGAGCTGGGAGGGTGTCGCCTCTGTTTGGGGTGGCCTGCTGGATGTGGAGGGCCTAGCAGGTGCACGCACCCAGTGTGCCCCCCTCCCCCGGGAAGGAGGCAGGCTCCTGTCTGGTCCGTGGTGGGCTGGGGTTTGCGAGTGGTCGAAGTGTCCCCATGGATGGGGTCTTGGTGCGGGGAGCTGGGCCTTCTTGGAGAGGGGTGTGTGCCCCCAGGCACCTGGCAGAAATGGCACTTGTGCCAACAGTGGCTGTGTGCACCCCTCGGGGGGCTCCCCGTCTTGAGCTGGGTGGGGGGGAGCTGGCTCTACCCCCAACACACACACACACACACACACACACAAGATGGTGGGTGAATCCTCCGCGCTTCCCGCTCTTTCTAGATCGCAGCCAAGATCGGAGGCGATGCTGCCACCACGGTGAATAATAGCACTCCTGACTTTAATTTTGGGGGCCAGAAGAGGCAGCTGGAAGATGGAGGTACCTGCCTGCCTGCTTGCCTTTCCAGCCTGGGGGTCTGGTGCTTGAGGGAGAGGGGCTGGGGTCCCCCGCTGGGAGGGATGCAGAGAGCTGTTCTGTTTTGGCTGCTTCCTCCACGTGGCTGCACTGGCCGGGGTACAGCTAGGAGCCTGAAGCTCCGGGTCTCCCAGGCTGTCCATACTGCCTTCCTCGGGGGGCATTAGCAGGGAGCTGGATGGGAAGTAGAGCAGCTGGAATGGCAGCTTGTGTGATGTTGACAGGAGGCCATGTACCCCACTGCTCCCCACGCTGGCCAGGCCAGGTGGCCCCAGCAGCCGTGGGCGTGTGGCCACGTGTTGACGCCCCTTCTGCTTGTCCACAGATCAGCCGGAGAGCAAGAAGCTGGCGTCCCAGGGAGACTGTGAGTCCATGGGGCGGCTTTCAGTGGGGGCTGGGCAGGGGACCCCGAGCCCTGGCTACTCCCTTCCCCGAGCTGCCTGTATTCCCAGGCTGGGGCCCACAGGTCCTGGAGAGGGGGCTCCTTGGTGCCCCCTGGGTGGGCAGCGTGCACCCCGGGTGGGAAGCTGACATCGTCCACCCTCTGGTTGTCTCTGCAGCGCTCGGTTCTCAGCTGGGACCCATCCATCCTCCACCCAGGTGAGCGGCCGCCCTGGGGAGCCTGGGCAGGGCCTGCAGGCTGTGGGGCTCCGGGCAGCAGACATAGGTCACTCAGACTGGGGTAGGAAGGGCTTTGGCGCTGCAGGAGCCTCGGGCGCGGGGCTGTTCACAAAGCCTCTTCCCTGTAGACATGGAATGAGGTGGCTGCAGGCAGGCTCTTGTGTTGCTGGGAGTCCGTGGACGTCCAGTGGCCTTGTCAGTTCTGGTCCATCTGCCATGCTGGCAGTCAGCTAGCCGTGCCACCCTGTCCGTTGGAACTCTGGGGGCTTGAGGCCTGGAGCATGGCTGGTACCCCCTGGGGGTGGGCAGGGCCTGGGGGACCCTCTGCACCCCCCCACTGAGATGTCCTTGTGTTTCTGCAGGACCTCAATGACGGAGGAATACAGGGTCCCAGATGGCATGGTGGGCCTGAGTGAGTGCGGGCCCCTGGGGTCCAGGAGGGCTTCCCTGGGCGGGGCTGCCCGGCAGAGAGGAATCCCAGCCACCTGCCCTGCCCGTGGCATCCAGGCCCGCTCGACAGCCCCCGCATCTCCTTCCCCCTGCAGTCATTGGCAGAGGTGGCGAGCAGATTAACAAGATCCAGCAGGATTCCGGCTGCAAAGTGCAGATCTCACCAGGTACGGCGGGACTGGGCTGAGCTGGGTAATGGGTAGGCCTTGCCTGGTTCCTGGGGCTGGCACCTGTGTGTGCCCAGCCCTGGTGAGGGCCTGGAGTAGCCAGACAGCGGGCAAAGGAGTGCTGTAAGGCAAGGCAGGGAATGCTGGGGAGGCCCTTAGCTAAGGTGAGGTGTGGGGGCTCGGGCCTGGGGTCCCTGGGTAATGCTCTGGGGCTGGGAGCCAGGAATGTACCTTCTGGAATCATCTCTCCCCTGGCCTGCTGTTTTGCTTCACTCACATTGGCCTGTGCTGAGCAGGCCCCAAGGGTGTGGGGGCCACAGCATGGGGACATAACTGGCCATGGGTGGTTCTGGAAGTTTCTTTGTCTCCAGGAGGGCCCTGACCCTGTCTCCTCTCTCCTCCAGACAGTGGTGGTCTGCCTGAGCGCAGCGTGTCCTTGACGGGCGCCCCCGAGTCAGTGCAGTAAGTCCCCACCAGGGCCACCGCAGGGAGGGCCCTTGGAGGTTGGGGGAGCCCCCAAGCCTGCACAGCCCAGCCCTCTTGCTGCAGCTGGGCCGCCCACCCCGTTCTCGTCTCCCCAGGAAAGCCAAGATGATGTTAGATGACATCGTGTCTCGGGGGCGCGGAGGTCCCCCCGGGCAGTTCCACGACAGTGCCAACGGGGGCCAGAACGGCACGGTGCAGGAGGTCATGATTCCCGCGGGCAAGGCCGGCCTGGTGATCGGCAAAGGCGGGGAGACCATCAAGCAGCTGCAGGTGAGCCCGGGGCCTGGGCCGGGCCCTTCTCCCCACGCGCCCCAGCCCCGCACTGACGGGCATTGCACCTGCAGGAACGCGCCGGCGTCAAGATGATCCTGATCCAGGACGGCTCGCAGAACACGAACGTGGACAAGCCCCTGCGCATCATCGGGGACCCCTACAAAGTGCAGGTGCGTGCCTCGCTGCGCCTTGATGCAGAGGGCCGGGGGGCTGGGGACACGCCGGCCGTCCCAGCCCCCACCTCCACTGTGTGTACAGCAAGCCTGCGAGATGGTGATGGACATCCTGCGAGAGCGTGACCAGGGCGGCTTCGGGGACCGCAACGAGTACGGCTCGAGGATCGGCGGGGGCATCGATGTGAGTGGGGCTCCTGGGCGGGGCGGCGGGCAGCAGGAAGGAGGCCCACGCTGACCCAGCGAGCCTCTGCCCTCAGGTGCCAGTGCCTCGGCATTCGGTGGGCGTGGTCATCGGCCGCAGCGGGGAGATGATCAAGAAGATCCAGAATGACGCGGGCGTGCGCATCCAGTTCAAGCAAGGTGAGCACGGCTGCTCCACGTCCGGCCACGCGCACCTGCTGCCTGACCCCCGGCGGGGTCCACGTGCTCCCCAGGCCTGGCAGGGTGTGTGGGTGGTGTGGATGCGGCAAGGAGATCCTCACTGCTTCTGCAGAACCAGTGCTGGGGTGCCCCGAGTGGGAGCTGCCCGGCAAAAGCTCCTGGCTCCAGACTGGCTCTGCTGCAGCCGGTGCGACCACTTAGGGAGTGAGCCAGCAGCTTATTTGAAAGAAAAACAGGCAAGAGGGACCCTCCGTGCACTGCTCCACGCCCCTCTTGGCTGTAGTGGCCGGGCTGAAGCCAGGAGTGCCACGTGGTCTCCTTTGTCACCTCGGGGGCCCAAACACTTAGGTCACCCTCCACTGCCTTGCCGTGCACACTGGCAGGGGACTGGATCAGAAGCGGAGCAGCAAGGACTGCTGTGTCACTGTGGGATGCCAGTGCCACAAGCTGGCAGGCCCTGGGGCTCTGCAGAGGCCGTGCTGGCTGGTCTGAGCTGTTCCCTCTGCTCTCTGGGTGCTGGCACCAGATGATGGCACGGGTCCTGAGAAGATTGCCCACATCATGGGACCCCCGGACAGGTGCGAGCACGCGGCCCGCATCATCAATGACCTCCTACAGAGCCTTCGGGTAGGTGGCTGGAGGGAAGCTGCCAGTCCACCCCACCTCCCCACACAGTGCCGGCCCACCTGGCTGCCAGCTCACCCGCCTCCCTGTCTTGCAGAGTGGGCCCCCAGGTCCTCCCGGGGGTCCTGGCATGCCCCCTGGTGGCCGGGGTCGGGGACGAGGCCAAGGCAACTGGGGTCCTCCTGGCGGGGAGGTGACCTTCTCCATCCCCACGCACAAGTGCGGGCTGGTCATCGGCCGTGGTGAGTAGGGGGCGTCTCCACACTTGGGCCCCTCAGCCCCCTCCCCGGCCGCCCACCCGGCGGCCCACCCATCACCTGCTGTGGCCCTGCAGGTGGCGAGAACGTGAAAGCCATAAACCAGCAAACGGGCGCCTTTGTAGAGATCTCCCGGCAGCTACCGCCCAATGGGGACCCCAACTTCAAGCTCTTCATCATCCGGGGCTCCCCCCAGCAGATCGACCACGCCAAGCAGCTCATTGAGGAGAAGATCGAGGTGGGCTCGGGCGGGTCCTGGGGGGCTGCATCCCACTCCCCTCCTCCAGCCTGCTCACCTCTGCCTCCTCCCCTGCAGGGTCCTCTCTGCCCTGTGGGACCTGGGCCCGGTGGACCAGGCCCTGCTGGCCCCATGGGGCCCTTCAACCCCGGGCCGTTCAACCAGGGACCCCCTGGAGCTCCCCCACAGTGAGTGACACTCGGCTTCCCAAGGCCGCTGTGCGGGTGCGGGGCTGGGGACCCAGGTCCTGGCCTTGGGGGTCCCCCAGCTCACAGCTCCCGTCTCCACAGCGCCGGCGGCCCTCCTCCTCACCAGTACCCTCCCCAGGGCTGGGGCGGCACCTACCCCCAGTGGCAGCCTCCTGCACCTCATGACCCCAGTAAGTAGGGGCTGCGGTCCCAGCCAGGGGGGCCTGGGCCTCCTGCGGGCCTGGCCCTTAGCCGCACCCCTCTTCTAGACAAAGCTGCAGCAGCAGCCGCCGATCCCAACGCCGCCTGGGCCGCCTACTACTCGCATTACTATCAGCAGCCCCCGGGCCCCGTGCCCGGCCCCGCTCCGGCCCCTGCAGCTCCTCCCGCGCAGGGGGAGCCCCCGCAGCCCCCGCCTGCTGGCCAGTCGGACTACACCAAGGCCTGGGAGGAGTACTACAAGAAGATCGGTGAGCCGGCACCACGCCCCCGGCTCCAGGGGCGCCCCCGCCCGGTCCTGGGGTCCCCGGGGGCGAGGCCACTGACCCTTCTGCGCCTACCCTCCCCCTGCAGGCCAGCAGCCGCAGCAGCCAGGCGCGCCCCCGCAACAGGACTACACCAAGGCCTGGGAGGAGTACTACAAAAAGCAGGGTGAGCCGGGGGGCGCCGCGGGCAGGACGGGGACCGGGCGAGGCAGCCCTGCCCGCCCCCAGCCACTCGGCTCACCCTGCCCTCGTTCCCCCCATCGCACAGCACAAGTGGCCACCGGAGGGGGTCCGGGAGCGCCCCCAGGCTCCCAGCCGGACTACAGTGCTGCCTGGGCCGAGTACTACCGCCAGCAGGCCGCCTACTACGGACAGAGCCCCGGTCCCGGCGGCCCCCAGCCGCCTCCCGCCCAGCAGGGACAGCAGCAGGCAAGTGGGAACTGCCACCCTCCTCCTCCTCCTTTCTCCTTCCAACCCCCGGCCACCGTCCATCCTGCCTTAGTGGGTAGCGCCGGAAATCCCTTCCCCTGCGGGGTGTGCCCTTGATGCCTGCCTGCAGCGGGGGCCGCGTGGCCAGAGGTCTCCGGGAGTGCCCACGTGCCCGCCGGGGCAGCGCACGCTGGGGCCAGAGGCTAACGAAGAGGCCTCCCTCCGCCAGCCGCTTGTTCCTGTGTGAGCTGACGACGCCGGGGCCAGCTGCAAACAGAGGTGGAACTGTGAGCTGGTGGGTGGGCCCGGGCTGGGCCGCCGCCCGCTCGCTCGAGATCTGGCCACTCGGGAAGAAAACAGCTATTTTTTCCCCCCCTTTTTCTGCATCACTTCTTTGGTCTTTTTTTTTTTTCTCCCCCTTTTACATTTTTGAAAGCCACGATCTTTGTTTTCCTGGCCCGTGTCCTCGTCCGAGTGACTGTCGCAGGCGGCCCGGCCCCGGCGGGGAGAGGGCCGAGGGAGAGCAGCCTGTGGGCGTGGGCGCGCTCGCTCCGCCGTGTCCCGGTCGGATCTGTGAAACGGGCACTGACCATCGCTGCCACCTGCCAACCTACCTCACAGGGGTGTTGTGGGGACGCCGCGCGCGTGGTCGTGGTCGCGGAAATGGTTTCTGTCGCGCGTTCGCCGGGAGCCGCCGCCTAACGTGGGGCGGGGGGGCTCCCCTCCGCGCCTCATCCCGCACACCTGCTGTCCTGTTCCCTCCCTGCTGCTGCTCCTCCTCCTTCTCTTCTTCCTCCTCCTCCTCCTCCAGCCAGGCCGAGAGCGCTAGCCAGTGGACACCACGCGTCCTGCCCGGCCCGCCCCTCCCCGTGGTGACCAATTGCTATCTCTTCCCTCTCCACAGGCGCAATGAATCCAATGTGAACTTCCTCATCTGTGAAAAAAAAAAATCTATTTTTTTTTCCCATTTTGTTCTGTTTGGGGGCTTTGTCTGCTTGTTTTTTTGCTTTTGTTTGTTTGGCGAGAGAGCGCGATGGCCGCCGCTGGGGGTGTGGGGAGCCCCGGGCGAGGCTGGAGCTGGGGGGCCCTGGCGCCCTCCCCCGGGGACCCCTCACCGGGGCCAGCCGTGGAAGTTAGCGAGGAACTGAGTCCTGCCAAAAAATAAATTACAAACATGAAAGAGAGCAGAACAAAAAAAAAAAAAGTATAAAATTTTATATATATTTAAAAAAAAAAAACAAAACCTTCTAATCCCTCCCCTGACCCTCCAGCTTCCAGAAACTGCCTCTGAGGGGAGGCCCCGTTCTCTCCCTGCCACCTTGGCCTCTTGTTTTTAAAATAAACTTTAAAAGGAAAAAAAAAGTCACTCTTTGCTACTTTTTTTTTTCCCCCCCTTTTTTTTTAGTTAGAGTTGGAACATTCCTTGGACCAGGTGTCGGTTCGGCAGGACCTCCCCCCACCTGCCCGCCTCTCTCTCTCTCTCTTTTTCTCTCTCTCTCTCTCCCCCCCTCCTGCTCTTCCTCCTCCTCAGCCCTGCTCAGCCCCCTCTCCCCCCGCCTCCCCCATGGTCTCCAGAACTCGGTCGTTTTCATGTTGAACAGGAGAGATTTAAACTAAACCGAAAAATGAGAACAAAACAAAAAAATTGTATGGCAGTTTTTACTTTTTATCGCTCGTTTTTAACTTCACAAATAAATGATAACAAAACCTCGTGGCGTCTGCTGGCTGCTGTGTGTGCCCCCATCCCTGCCGTGCCACCAGCCCGACCCCGCGGAGCGGCCGCGTGTCCTCAAGTTGTCATTGTCCTTTTAACAAGAACAGAAAATGGTTTCCCACAGGCGCGTTGTGCTCTTAACTCCTCTTGCCTTTCTTTTTTCTTTTCCTTTCCCTTTTTTGATTAAATAAAGTGCTTTTTGTTTAAAAATGGCACATTGGCTGCAGTTGTTGTGTTGGTAAAGGGAAACGGCTTGGGTGGGAGGTTGGGGGCAGGGAGGGCACGGGGAGTCCCCAGGGGCCTGTCAGGGTCATCCCCTCTCAGGCCTGGGACCTGGGAGGGAGGTATGGGCTGGGGGTGGGCCCAGGGACGGGTCCCCATGGACACAGATGACGGGCTCTGCCTCCGCTTGCTGCCCTGCCAGCGGCTCAGGGCACACAGCTAGAGGCCCAGGGCACGGCCTCTCCCTTAGGCAGGGTTCATAGTGAATTCAGGGACCCCCGCCGTCACCTGCATGTGGCAGCTGCCGGTCCCGCCCCGAGACTCTCACCTCGGTGCCCCGCGCGCCCCAGGCCTGCCCGGGTCACTGCAGGCTCTCAATGACAGAGCAGCATTTGATGAAGACGCTCTCTGGTGAGTCTTCCGCCAAGATCTAGACGAGGGGCAGAGCAGGTAAGTCCATGGGGCCGGAGCTGCCCCCCAACACGCCCAGGAGAGGGTGGTGGGCCACCAGCAGCCGCCCCCCTCTGCCCCTGCCCTAGGGGCATGCCTTGACCTTGTGCTGGGTGGCCCTGGAGACGTGCCTGGCTTTGGGTGACACCGGGGCCCTTTTCCCTTGGTTGGCAGGAAGTTCATCTGCCGAAGAACCGACCATGGATTTCCCATCCCAGTAAACTTGGCTTTTCAGGAGCCCACTTACAAATACGAGTCCTCCCGCCTTGTCACAGCCCCACCCCTGACTCCCGTGCCCCAAACTCCATTCCCCAGGGCCCGGCAGCACCCACACTTCGCAGCAGCTTCTTGTGCTGGTAAAAGTTCAGGACTGGCTCGCACGAGGTGTAGTGAGTGTCCAGCCGCCTGTGGATGGCCGGCTCGGAGTCGTCCTCACGGTGCTCCAGCTGCCCACGCCGCAGCACCCGCTGGACCATGGTCTCCATGGAGCAGTCCAGCACAATGACCGCGCTGGGGGCCCGGCCCACCTAAGTACGCAACGGGGGCGACAGGTGAGCCTGGGGTCCCTTTTCCCAGCAGGAAAGTCACAGCTCCTCCCCCTGGTCTATCTTGATTTCTTTCAAAATCTTCCATCCGCTGGCTCACACCCCAAACGGCTACAATGGTCAGAGTTGAGCCAATCCAAAGCCAGGAGCCTCTTCCGGGTATCCCATCCACATGGTGCAGGGTCCCAAGGCTCTGGGCCGTCCTCCACTGCTTTCCCAAGCCACAGGTAGGGAGCTGGATGGGAAGTGGGGCTGCTGGGACACGAACCAGTGCCCACGGAGGGGGACCCGGCTGGAGCTCCCCAGCGGCTCCTGTCTTCCACCTGGCCCAGCCCTTGGCTGCTGTGGCCACTTGGGGACCTGAACCAGCAGCTGGGAGAGCTTCTGCCTCTGTGTCTCCAACAAAACAGAGAGATATTGTTGAGGGAAAAAAAAAAAAAAACCCTTCTGCCAGCCACCTCTTCCAGGCGCCAACCTTTGTCCCGAAACACACCTGCCCTGACTCCCTTCCCAGGGCCACGGGAGGGCCCTGTCCCTGGGTGGCCTCTGTCCCTGGGTGTCAGGGGACGCCCTGTGCTGCGCCCTGGGCTTGGGGGGACGTGTATGTGGGGAGGGGTGTGTGTGTGACAGACATGTACCCACACAGGGCTCTCACCTTGCTCCAGGGAGCAGGTGCGGGGCGATGGGAGATGCCCACATGGGTGGAACTGTCACCTCCCCCGACACCCCCACCCTGAAAGGGGACCCTGAGGGGGAGCGGGCGCTGGTCCTGTCCCAGAAGCTGGCGGGGATGGGATTAGGGGATATGTCCCTCCCCAACAGGGCTTTCCTGGGACCTCAGTCTCCCTGTATCATCACACAGCACGTGTCGGCCTTCCAGACACTTGGAGGTCACATCCCGCCTCGAGGGTCCTGCTGGGGGATCCTCTGCTGGGGTCTGGGGTCCGGTCACCCTGGTGTGGCAGAAGTGTGCGTATGTGGGGGATGGGGCGGAGGAGGGGAGGGTGATGCCTCTTCAAGCTGCACCCACTCTGCAAGCGCCCCTCCAGGAACCCACCACCGATGCCCGAGCCAGGCAGGCTCACCCCGTTAGGCTCCCAGTCTGGCCCACACAGCGCCCATCCAAATACAGGTCCCAGGCATCTAGAAAGTTCTCTCACTTGCACAGAGACAAAACTGCTCTGTAGTAGTCGGTCTTTGGGTTTGTTTTTGGCGAGCATTTGCTCTCAATGTGACGGCACTCCCTCCCAACGAAACGGGGTGGGGGGGGTGAGGGAAGTCTGCGATGGAGAAGCAATGGGGGTGAAGGTGGGGGTGGGGTGACGGTCAGACGGGGCTGCACAGCCAGTGCTATGGGGTTCCTATGGAGGGGGGTCCTGGAGGCCACGCAGCCCCTAGATGGACTCCCTACTCCTGTGTGATATCAGGGTGTGGAAGGTTCTAGAAGATGAGTTAGTCCAGCACAGCAGCGCTGATGGGCAGCCCAGGGCTCGGTCAAAAGCTTGGGAAAGCCAGCTCGCTGCGGTTGCCATGGGGACGTGCAGGGCCTGCAGTGCCAAGTCAGTCGGGTTTTGTGTGTGTGTGTGTGTGTGTGTGTTTCCCAGAGAAGTTGGGTGTTGCTGGAACGGTGGCCATGTGGATGCAGAAAGCTGCGCTGTGGGGTGGGGCTGGCCACCTGTGCACGGGGCTGCTGCATCCGCGAGCTGGGGCAGAGCAGTGGGTGCAGGGCAGTGATGGCCCTGCTGGCTGGCTCCCCATGAGCCTGGGGCTGTGTTGCTTCAAAGCCGGGCTCCGGGAACTCCATCCAGCTCCCCTCTCCCCGCTGGGTTTGTGGTGTGCCGGTTCGAATCCTGGCTGCACTGTTTTCCCCTTCGCTCCCTGCTCCATTTGTCTGGCAAAGCAGAAGATGGCCTAAGCACTTGGGGTCCCTGCCACAGGCCAGGTGGGGACCCCAGATGTCACATGACGGGCGAAGGCATGCCTTCCTTTGTGCCTGTACGGGGGCCTGGAGTTGAGACCACACAGGGCTGTGGGTTACACCTGCACACTGTTGGGCCCGGCACGATTGCTCAGTTGCCTAATCTGCCCCCTTACAAGCACTGGGATCCCATTTAGGCACTGGTTCAAGTCCCAGCTGCTCCACTTCCCATCCAGCTCCCTGCCTATGGCCTGGAAAAGCAGTGGAGGACGGCCCAGAGCCTTGGGACCCTGCACCTGTGTGGGAGACCTGGAAGAAGCTCCTGACTCCTGGCTTCGGATCAGCTCAGTTCCAGCCATTGCAGCCATTTGTGAATCCCCCAGTGGATGGAAGATCCTTCTCTCTGTAATATCAGCCTTTCCAAAAAAAAAATCATATTTAAAAAAAAAACATGTATTTACTTTTTATTGGAAAATCAGATATACAGAGAGGAGGAGGAGAGAGAAAGATTTATCCTGTGCCCAAGAGCACAGGAGCAGGGAAAACCAGTTGGACGTGGAGGAGCTGAGCCTTGGAGCCACTTCCGGGGTGTGGGCTGTTGTCCACATTCAACTGCTTGGGCAACGCCCCGCCCCTCTGCAGGGACTGCAAACGGAACCGGGCAGGGGGCATAGGAGGGTGGCGCTGAAGTCCCATCCTTTCCAGAAAAGCCTGAGAGGCCCTACCACTCCTTGCCCCGTTTTCTGAACCCGGTTGTGGGGAGCCCTCCACTGCCCCGTCACTGGGCGGCGGCGGGTGGCGCTGGGACAGGAGCCTGCAGCAGAAGATCCGAGCTGACCAGCAGGTGAATACCGCCAGCCGTTGCTTGTCTTCCTTCAGCCCCAGGTGCTGGCCCCGTGCTCTGTTCTGTGTGTTGGTATGTGTTGTCCATGGGTGGCAGCTGGCACCTCCCCGGGTGCCCCAGTAGTACGCTGTGCCCCTTTGCCTGCACCAGGGTGCCCGCCCGAATGCATGGCAGTGCGGCCGGGGTCAGGCCACTGCTCGCCACGCAGGTATTCCGCATATCGGAGGGCCAGTCCCCTAAGGCAGCGAGCAGGGGTCACAGATGGCCATTTTAGGAATTCTGGGGGCCCAGCCCTGGGACAGATGGCTGAGAACACAGAAACGTGAACAGCACCTACTTGTACATACTTAAGTATCGGCCTGGGACCTTCCACCCTGTCCCTAAGACACCTGCCCTTGGGCCCAGTGCGGTAGCCTAGTGGCTAAAGAATCCCACATAGACCCCAGTTCTAATCCTGGATGCTCCACTTCCCATCCAGCTCCCTGCTTGTGGCCTGGGAAGGCAGTCGAGGATGGCCCAAAGCCTTGGGACCCTGCACCTGCACGTGGGAGACCAAGAAGAGGCTCCTGCCTCCTGGCTTTGGATCAGCTCAGTTCCTGCTGCTGTGGCCACTTGGGGCGTGAACCAGCGGATATAGGATCTTTCTGTCTCTCCTCACTGTAAATCTGACATTCCAATAAAAATATAAAGTCTTTAAAAATAAAGTCCTTTTGATCTGTGATTGGCTATGGAGGGCGGCCTGGGAGGATCCTGATTGTACCTGTGTTTTAGGAAGGACATGGGGGGGGGCAGCAGGGGGTGCCCAGGTGCCTGAAGTGGGCAGGAAGGCAGGGAAAGGGCCTCTCCTGAGCCCTCCCCTCGTCCCTCCCCACCTCCTCATCCTCGGATTTCCCACCCAGGCCAAACCTCACTTGAGGTGGGGCAGCTGCGTCCCAGGTGTGTGCCCGGGTGCTGGTCCACAGGCGTGCCCCCACCACACCCGCGCACCCCGCTCTCTCTCACCAGGCGCTCGAACTCCTTGGCCTGCTGCAGCCCGCGCGGGAAGCCGTCAATGAGGAAACCCTGGCTCTCGGGGTGCGCCAGCATCTTGCTGGTGACCATGTCCAGAACGACGCCCTGATGACAGAAGTGCGTGCAGCCGGTGTGTGCCGCAGGGGTCGTCCCCCCCGACCCCGGGGCGGTCACCAGGGTGCGTTGGGCTGCCCCTTCCCCGCCCAGGGACAGAACCTGGAGGTGACACAGTCCCCCCATCCCGGCACCCCGCAGTCTGAGCTTGCTTGGAGACCCTGGTGGGAAATGCAGCTCAATGCAGGACCCTCCACCCCAGGGGTCGGGGGTGGGTGACTGTCTCTCCTAGGCCCCAGGCACATCACGAGGTCAGCCCTAGGATTTTCTCCCTTTTTTTCGGGGTTGTGAGGAGAGATGAAGAAAGAACCCTAGAAGGGACTGGGGGCCAGCATGCTAACAGAGTGGGTTAAGCCTCCATCTGCAATGCCACATCCCATGTGGATGCTGATTTGTGTCCAGGCTGCTCTACTTCCCATCCAGCTCCCTGCCTGTGGCCTGGGAAAGCAGTGGAGGACGGCCCAAAGCCTTGGGACCCTGCACCCGCGTGGGAGACCCGGATGGAGCTGCTATCTCCTGGCTTTGGGGAGAGAACCAGCGGATGGAAGGGCTCGCTGTTTTCTCCTTCTCGCTGTGTAATTCTGCCTTTCCAATGGAGAAATGAAATCTTGGAATAAAAAAGAACTTGTCTGTTACAGGTGCCCCTGTTCCTCTCCACCCCCCAATCTCTCAGGGGTCGGCTGACATTGGACCCGAGTCTCAAGTGCCAGGCACCTGTTAAAGACCTACCTTCTAGAAACGATGTCACATCCCCCACCTTTGGCTGGGGTGCCCCATTTCCACATGAGGATATGGAGGTCCAGTAGAGACAGGGGAGAGGGTGTCGGGGGGAAACCCAGCGGTGAGAGGGAGGGGGGCCAGCCTCCACGCCACCCCCCGCACAGCCACTCGCGACCCAGGCCGTGACTGCTCACCGTGGGCACCAGGAGCCCCTGCAGCATGACGTCGCGGATCTGGCGACCCCTCTGTGTGTGCTGCCGGGCTTCCTGCCTCAGCAGCTGGCCCAGGCCCACGTGGCAGAAGCCATACTTGGCGGCCATGTTCTTGCACTGTGTCTCTTTGCCAGAGCCGGGGCCGCCCACCACAAAGATAATCAGAGAGGAGTTGAGGGCATCTGGGGTGGGGGAGACAGGGAAAGGCGAGTGAGTGCCTGCTGGGCACTGGGCCCTGGGTGGCAATGTCCCCTTCAACCCTAAGGTGGCATGGTGGGGAGGGCATGGTGGGGAAGCCGGATGGTACAGGGCCAGGTGTGCTGTGTGCTGAGGGTGTGTGAACTTGAGCCAGCTGGTCCCTGGGTGTATGTGGGGAGAAGAAAGCTTCATAAGCACCTTTACTATTCCATTTCACAGCTGAGAAAACTGAGGCTTGGCAGGGGAAGGGGGCATGCCGCGTTCAGGCCACACCACTCTGCACGGCTCTTGATCCCATCCTAGCCCAAGGTCCCCGCCAACTCCTCCTTTAAACTTGACCTATTTATTCTTCCCCTAACCTCCTCCCCCAGGGAAAAATGCCTCCCTTCTCCCTTTCCTGTGGAGGGTCACAGTTCACCCCTGAGGCCTTTCCTAACTTCTGCGTAAGCAGCTTAACATGGGTATGTGGTCTGGGGTGGAGGGGCGTAGGTAGGTGGGCGTGGGTGTTTATTGATATAGCAGGTTAAGCCAGTGCAAAGCAATGCCAACTTTCTATACCAGAAAAGGTTCGAAGCCCACCTGCTCCACTTGCTGATGCAGCTCCCTGCTAGGGCCGGAGATGACCCAAGCGTTTACTTGCCACCCACCCCCACGGGAGACGCCGACACAGCTCTTGGCTCCTCGCTTCGGCAGACGGAATGTCTTTCTCCATCTCTCTCCCTTTCTCTCTGTAACTCTGTCTTTTCAAAAAATTTTTTTACACATTTTTTTATTGGAAAGTCAGATATACAGAGAGGAAGAGAGACAGAGAGGAAGATCTTCCATCCCCAGCGGCCACTACAGCCGGAGCTGAGCTGATTCAAAGCCAGGAGGCAGGAGCCTCTCCTGGGTCTCCCACGCAGGTGCAGGGTCCCAAGGCTTTGGGCCGTCCTCCACTGCTTTCCCAGGCCACAGGCAGGGAGCTGGATGGGACGTGGGGCTGCTGGGATTAAGGGACGTGGGGCTGCTGGGATTAGAACCAGCACCCATACGGGATCCCAGCAGCAGTGCATGCTAGGCGAGAACTTTAGCCACTAGGCTACCACGCCCAGTCCTTAAAATGTTTATTCAAAGAGCCTCCTCTGGGGCCAGGGTTGTGGCGTTGCAAGTTAAAACGTCTCTCACAGCAGCTCCCTGCAGAGAGCAGTGGCTGTGTCCTAAGTGCTTGGGGTCTCTCACACCTCCATGGGATCCAGGGCTGAAGACCCCAGCCATGGGGGCCACTGGGGAGTCACCCGGCCTCCCTCCCTCCCTCCCTCCCTCTCAGATAAATCTTATTTTAAAGAAGGAAGCGTCGCCTTCAGCCTTCTGACAGGCACCACCCAGGGCTGGCACGCAGCTGCAGGTGCTGGGTAGGGTAGCAGTGGGGTGCAAACGCCATCATGCTTTTTGGGGTGCTCCCTCCTGCTGCCGCCCCCCGACCCCTGTCACACATGACAGCTTCCTTCCCCTTTCTCGGCGGCGACCACGTTACCCTTCTCTTGGGGCTTCAAGGTTCTGCCCACTGGGGGCATCTTGGAATAGCACAGACCCATCCCAGCGACGGCTGTCTTTTGGGGGGTCGGTCAGCCACCCTGCTCCCCCTCCCCCGTCCCCTCCTCTGTCACTCCCCAGCGCTCATCCACGTCACAAGGGCACCCCACCTCATAAAAAAAAAAGCAACATTGGGGTCCCCCTCCCTCCCCGGTCCTCGGGGAGACGAGCCCGGCCCATTCCCGCCCCCATAAAAAGCAGGGCAGGCCGCGCGCGCGCGCGCGCGTGTGTGTGTAGGCCCCGCGTTGCCATAGTCACGCGGACGCACTTCCGGGATGGGCCTGCGCATGCGCTCGAAAGGAGAGCGGGGGCGGGGCACGATCGCTTCCTTCAGCCCCTTTACCCAGAGTGCCCAGCGCGCGGCGCGTAATGGCGTCACGAGGAAGGCGTTCCCCTGCCCGCCCTGTGAAGCCGCTCAGCACGGCCCTATAAAAGCAGGCGGTTTGTGGGTGTCCGGCTCGGCGCCCGCCCCGGCGCCTTCTCCCCGTGTTCCCCCTCGGTGTCCTGGGCCCGGAGTCCGTGTCCGGGGCCGCCCCGCGTCGCCCTCCGCAGCGTCGTCCACACGCGCGCCGCTTCCGGGTCGTCGTCACCCTTTTTTTTTTTTTTTTTTTCGGGGCGCGCGAGGGTGTAGGGGGTCGCCCCGAATTCGCGAATCTTTCCAGGAACACGAAAACTCTCCCGGCTCGGGCCCGTCTACGGAACGCCCATTGCACACCCCCACCTCGCTATGGCGTCCCTCGTGAGTAATACCCGAGGAGGAGAAGGAGGGATGTTGGGGTGCACGCGGGGTGTGGGGTCCCCTCCCTGGCCCCCGAACCTCCTTCCTCACCAAGCTGCGATTCCTCTGTCCACAGGGCCCCGGCAGCCAGAATGTCACCGAGTATGTGGTCCGAGTTCCCAAGTGAGTCCCTGAGGGTCTCGGAGGGGGGATGAGGGGTCCCCCAAACTGGGGCTTCCTGGGGGGGGTGTCGGTCTAGGGGGTTCAGGGCGGCTCTGGCTCCGATCCCCGACCTACTGTTTGTCTCTCTTGCCGGGGAGTCGTGTTGGTGCCCCAGGAAACGGAAAAGATGAAGTTTATTGTGGGTTGAAAGGCAGGGGTCGCCCGTCCTCCCCTGCCCACTCCCCATCGTAGGCTGTGTGTTTGGTATTTTTGTTTGTGATGAGTTTCATCTGTAAGGCAGAGTGGAAAGGTTTTGCGTGTGGAGTTTCCCTCCTCCTGTGAGTGCACTGGCTGGGGCCGAACCAGGCTGAATTCAGGGTCCTGGGGAATGAATGGAGCAGGAGCCGGATGGGGGTGGGTGTGCGGGGAGCAGCCGGGACCAGAACCTGCACCCTGTGGCGGCTGCTGCTGTGGTCGGCACCAGCTAAAGATTTATTTATTTGAAAGTCAGATTTACACAGAGAAGGAGAGACAAAGATCCTCCCATCCTGGTTCACTTCCCAAGTGGCCACAATGGCTCCAGCTCAGCCGATCCGGAGCCAGGAGCCTGGAGCCTCTTCCGGAGGCCTGGAGTGTTGGAGTCCCCCAGCATCGCCTAGCTCAGAGTGCCGGGCTTGGGTGGGTTTGATGAATGAATACATGAATATTCAAATCGGAAGCACCTCTTCCCCATCCGTTGCAGGAACACCAGCAAAAAATATAATATCATGGCGTTCAATGCCGCTGACAAAGTCAACTTTGCTACGTGGAATCAGGTAAGAACTTGGTTTGGGTGGCCCTGGGGGGTGGTCACGAAGAACCCCGTGGTGGATTTGATGCTCTCTGCTTGTATAGTTCCCCCTCGTTGCTGGCTTCATCCACAGTGGGCTGAGGCCCAGAGGAACTTTCCAGAAGCTTCTGGTTGTCCACTGTGCACTCTTCTGAGTAGCAGGATGCTGGTCCCCGCTGTGCAGCAAAACGCAGCCGGCTCCTAAGCGGGGGGGCTGTTCCCTGGTTCCGGGGGCGCAGGCGCAGTCCCCTCACCCCACGAGTCTGGCTGCTTGCTCCCCCAGGCCCGACTGGAGCGGGACCTGAGCAACAAGAAGATCTACCAAGAGGAGGAGATGCCGGAGTCGGGCGCGGGCAGCGAGTTCAAACGCAAACTACGAGAGGAGGCCCGCCGGAAGAAGTATGGCATTGTTCTCAAAGAGTTCCGGCCGGAGGACCAGCCCTGGCTGCTGCGCGTGAACGGCAAGGCTGGCCGCAAGTGAGCGGTGGGGCCGGGCATGGGCGCCCGGGAGAGGGTGCAGGAGGGGCACCCTAAAACGGGAGCCGGTGTGTGACCGGCCCTGGAGGTGCCTGGCAGGTGTGGGGATGCTAATGGATGCTGGATGTTGAAGGGCAGTGCAGGTGGACCCACAGGCCAAGGCTGCCAGGATGTGCCAGGACCTAAGCCCGCGGGCATCTGGGCAGGAGAGTGAGGATGAGGGTAGAGCTGAGGTCAGTGTCCGCTTCAGATCGCCCCATCCTATTTGTCCCTCCCTGGGGATGCAGAGGACGGCAAGGGGGATGCAAGCAGGCTGGGGCCCTGGGCTGGGCAGTGACCGTGGCTCCCTGCAGGTTCAAGGGCATCAAGAAGGGCGGCGTGACGGAGAACACGTCATATTACATCTTCACGCAGTGTCCCGACGGGGCCTTCGAGGCCTTCCCCGTGCACAACTGGTACAACTTCACGCCGCTGGCCCGCCACCGCACGCTCACCGCCGAGGAGGCCGAGGAGGAGTGGGAGAGGTGAGCGGGGCTTGGGTGGGCAGTGGCAGGCCGGGTCACCCCTCTGTGATCGGAGCTGGGGGTGTTGGGGTGAGGAGGTGGGTGGGGAGTGGAGCCGTTTTGGGGGTTGTTGGAACCTGCTGGAACTAGGAGGCTGCGGTGCCAGCCAGCACCACCAGAGGGCGCCGTGGACACAGCTGCGCGCCTTGTCCCCTTAGCCGATGCGCCGAGGCCCCCCGACCTGTCCCAGCGTCTGGGTCCCCTGGGCGGCCCTCAGCACTGCCACTGTCCAGTCCCCACACACGGGACATGCCCCCCGGCAGCTCACACTGGCAGGTGCAGGCCTCCCGGTCACCCTGCGCCCCCACCCCCTTGCAGGCGGAACAAGGTGCTGAACCACTTCAGCATCATGCAGCAGCGGCGGCTCAGGGACCAGGACGAGGACGAGGGGGAGAAGGAGAAGGGCGGCCACAAGAAGGCCAGCGAGCTGCGCATCCACGACCTGGAGGACGACCTGGAGATGTCGTCGGACGACAGCGAGGCCAGCGGCGAGGAGGGTGAGGGGGGCAGGCCCGTGGGGCGGCCCGGGGTGAGCGCGGGCAGGGGTGGCTGGCCTTGGCCTGAGTCCAGCCTCTGTTCCCCCTCCTCCCCCAGGCAGCAGAGCCCCCAAGGCCAAGAAGAAGGGGCCGCAGAGCAAGGGCGGCAGGAAGAAGAAGAAGAAGAAGGGCTCGGATGACGAGGCCTTTGAGGACAGTGACGATGGCGACTTCGAGGGCCAGGAGGTGGACTACATGTCCGACGGCTCGAGGTGAGTGGGCAGGGAGCCCTGCCCGGTGCCTGCCACCTCCCTGCATGGCATCCCCCGCACCCCTGCCAGACTCCTGCCACGCTGCCTGCCCACTCGCCTCTGCCCCCTCACCCCTGTCCCCCTCACCCCTGTCCCCCATGCCTCTGCCCACCCACTCGCTCCTGCCCCCCACGCCCCTGCCCACTCGCCCCTGCCTGCCTTGTCTTACAGCAGCTCTGGGGAGGAGGCCGAGGGCAAGCCCAAAGTGCCGCAGCAGGAGGAGGGGCCCAAAGGTGGGTGTGGCCCAAAGGTGGGTGTGGCCCAAAGGTGGGTGTGGCCCAAAGGTGGGTGTGGCCGAATAAGGGCCAGGCTGGGGGGGGCAGGAGGGAGGCTGGGCAGGGCCCCCCTCTTGCTCACAGCTCCCCTCTCCTCACCCCTACCCCGCAGGCGTGGATGAGCAGAGCGAGAGCAGTGAAGAAAGTGAGGAAGAGAAGCCGCCCGAGGAGGACAAGGAGGAGGAGGAGGAGAAGAAGGCCCCCACGCCGCAGGAAAAGAAGCGCAGGAAAGGTGAGCTGGGGGGGCTGCAGGGGGCCGGGGGCGGCCAGGGGATGAGGTGGCAGGGGGTGCAGGCCGCAGGGATAGGGCGGTGGGGGACAGGCAGTGAGTATAGGCTGCAGGGGCGGCTGGTGGGGGTGCAGGCTGCAGGGTTGGGGTGCAAGGGTCAGGTGGGCTACCCCAGCGCTGACCCCACCCCGACCCCACCCTGACCCCTGCAGACAGCAGCGATGAGTCTGACAGCTCCGAGGAAAGCGACATTGACAGTGAAGCCTCCTCGGCCCTCTTCATGGCGGTAAGGCCGGGCCCTGGGTAACCGGGGTGTGGGGTGCGGGGCAGGGCTGCCGTGGGGGTGCTAACCCCACTCTACCCCCATCCCTGCCTCCTGCAGAAGAAGAAGACGCCCCCCAAGAGGGAGCGGAGGCCGTCCGGAGGCAGCTCCCACGGCAACAGCCGGCCAGGCACACCCAGCACTGAGGGTGCCGCCTCCTCCTCCTCCTCCACGCTGCGTGCCGCGGCCGGCAAACTAGAGCAAGGTGAGGCCCAGTCCTGCCGCGACCTCCCGCTGCCCAGTACCTGGATCCAAACCTGGAGGAGGGTGGGCAGGGAGTGGGTCGGGGCTCCCCACCCTGGCCCAACCCTGCCTCTTCACACATCCCCGCCCCGACAGGAAAGCGTGTCGGCGAGGCACCGGCGGCCAAGCGCTTGAAGATGGACAATCTTTCCGGGAAGTCCACCCCGCAGCCGACATCCGGGAAGTCGACGCCCAGTGGCGGGTAGGTGGTCGCAGGTGGGATGGGTGTGAGGGGGCGGAGGCCAGGATGGGGCCAGATCTGCAGGAGCCCTCACCTCACCCTCCCCTTCCCCATCCCCCGAGCAGGGACGTGCAGGTGACCGAGGAGGCCGTGCGCCGCTACCTGACCCGTAAGCCCATGACCACCAAGGACCTGCTGAAGAAGTTCCAGACCAAGAAGACGGGGCTGAGCAGCGAGCAGACGGTCAACGTGCTGGCCCAGATCCTGAAGCGGCTGAACCCCGAGCGCAAGCTCATCAATGACAAGATGCACTTCTCCCTCAAGGAATGAACCCCAGTAAACAGCATTGGCTCAGGACAGCCGGCTCCGTGTGTTTCCTGGGCCCCTCCTTCTAGAACCTACTGCAGCGTCCACCAGGGAGTGGGGGTCCACACTGTCACCTGGGTGATGTCCCTGGAGGCGGCTTCCCCTTGGCGAGGCCTCTCTTCAGCCGTGTCTGACCCCGTCCGTGGGCCCCCTGCTGGCGTGCTGTGTTTCAGCCAAGAGCGGGGCGCCCTTTTCAGCTCAGGGCTCCGAGGGGCAGCGTTATGCCTTCTCCTGTGTCTTGAACCTCATTCTGTCCAACTCAGGTCCTAGGCCGCCATGTCCCCCTACCTGATAGGTTCTTTTCAAAGATTGAACTTATTTGAAAGAGTAGAGCAGAGAGAGATCTTCCATCGGCTGGTTCACCCCCACAAGGGGCCGCAACAGTCAAGGCCTGGGCCAGGCCAAAGCTGGACCTCCACTGGGTCTCTGTCGTGAGTGGCCACGTGGGTCCAAGCATTTCCGAGCACCTGCCGCCTTCCCGTGGGAAGGGGAGAAGCCAGGGTTCGAACAGGCGCCCATTTGGGATGCCAGTGTCACAGGTCACAGCCTCACCCACTGGGCTTCGTGAGACACGGCTGAGCAGGGCATTCCTAGTCACTGTGTAGCCTGGGCCAGTGTGTGGGGGCAGGTCCCCATCCTTCAGTGCTGGCCGTTCACCCCAGCATCCCATTGCCCAGGGAGATTTCTGATGTACCCTGGCTTTCTCCAAGTCCGATGCTGCCGCCAAGGACTCTGGACGGGGCCCGGAGGTGCCCCGAGTTCCTGGGCGGATACCGCGCCCAGAAATGGAACTTGGCTTGCAGCCGCTGCTGCCAAACCCTCCGTCTTGGCCGTGGCCAGGAACTGCAGGTGGAAGGCGTCCCTGGCCTGGCCCAGCCCTGCCGACACTTGGCCGCCAGCACGTATGCCTGAGATATCCCACTAATTCCTAGGAATGTCCTGGCTGCTCCAGCTGGGCCCCCCTCTCCCAGGCTGTGAGCCAGGCCTCTGTGGCTCCCACTGGCGCTTTACGCGTGGGCTCTGGAGGCTGGGCTGCAGTCCTCGGCTGGGCTCCACCTTGCCGTAGCTGCTGCCTCAGCTCTGATTGGCATCCATCAAGCGACTGTTTTGGGTCTGGAAGTCCTCGAGGTGTCTGAGGTCACAACTGCAGTTCCTCTGGGCATGGGGCTGGCACTCCTGACTTGCTGGGGGCTCACGTGGCGACTCATATTCCTGCAGCTGGTGTCTTTGGGGGGCAGAGGGATCGGCCATCAGTTTACTAGTGACCTATAGGGAACGGCAGCCACGGTTCCGGGTGGGCCAGGAGCTCCTTCCAGGTCTCCGCAAGGACTTGGAGGCACTTGTTGCCTTCCAGTGCGCTGGGTTGAGAAAGGAGCTGGGTGTCTCCAGTGGTGTCTTAGCTGCTAGGCCAAGCCCCACTCCTATGTAACCCCCTTTTTTTGGGGGGTGGTAGTGGTATCAAGCCCCAACTCCCACAGCAAACAGGCTGCCTTACCGCTGGGCCAAGCAGTGCCCGATGCACACGGGTCCAGGCATGGAAGCCACCAGGGTTTGCAGCCCCTGCCGCCTGTCCCACTGGTTGTTCCAGAAGCTTCCCTCTGGGTCCCAGAGGGGGCAGCAGGCACGGGGCTCTACCTGGCCTGGGTGTGTGCATAGCCCAGCCCTTGGCCTCTCCCTTTTCCTGTTTTTGACACCGGCTTCGCCAGGCCCGGAGACAGGGCCATGATGCCTTAATCCCTCCATCCGCCCCGGGCAGGAGCCATGACGGAGGGGCACCCCGTCGGCTCACCCATCTGCCAAGCTGCTCTTTCCTGGCACATGTGTAAGAAACACTGCCACCTTCCATGGCATGCAGCACTGGGAGGGAGCTCCCTGCGCTGCTGGGGACCCCTGGAGCGCACCCCGCCATACACACCTCAGGTAGGGTGGGTATACCGGCTGGGGCCTGGCTGCTGCCGGTACAACTCGTAAATCAGGGGGGATGTCGGAGATGGATCTGTGGAATGTCTGGGTGCGGTGGAGGTGTGAACCCTTAACCCTTAGGGGGAACGGGGGCCCCTGAACTCAAGTGTGTGGACGACATGGGGCCGTAGCAGCCGGTGGTGAACAGGTTAACTCCTGCCCAGGCCCCAGCAGGGCATAAATTCAGGGGACACGGGGTCCCCCTTCCTGAGACCTGCCAGCAACGGTGGCCATGGGGACAGCGATGCTGGGCGCCGTGCTGCTGCTGCCCCTGTCCCTGCAGCTGGGCCGGGCATCCCAGCCTTGGGATGCTCCCTCGATGGTGGTGGCAGCAACGGAGCGGGAGTTCCTGTCACAGCAAGTGGCAGAAGCTGGGGGGACCCCGAGGCGCCCGCTGGGTAAGGATCTCTGAGGGGGTTTTGGGGGAGGGTGGTGTCTCCACACAGCATCCTGCCCTGAGCCCCCCATCCCTGGCAGTGTCCCCTGTCTGTCCCTCAGGTGCCCGTTTGCGCCGTGCCCCGGCCGAACCGTGCCAGCTCTGGAGCCTGACCCTGCCCGTGGCCGAGCTGGGCCTGGGCTACGCCTCGGAGGAAAAGGTCATCTTCCATTACTGCGCCGGCAGCTGCCTGCGCGGTGCCCGCACCCAGCACGGCCTGACGCTGGCGTGGCTGCAGGGCCAGGGTCGAGCCCACGGGGTGCCCTGCTGCCGACCGACCCGCTACGCCGACGTGGTCTTCCTGGATGACCGCCTCCGCTGGCAGCGGCTGCCCCAGCTCTCGGCGGCCGCCTGTGGCTGTGGCTAAGATGGGGCTCCGCCAGTGGCCCCGGAGCCCAAGCGTGCGGCTGACTTATTTATTGGGGCGGCAGCGGGGGGCAGCACATGCAATAAAGGAAACCGTTTTCTTGGCCTTGGGGGCCCCACACCCGTACGTGCCTCTGTGTGTCTGTCTCAGCTGCCCATGGACTGGTGTTGCCAGGGACCATCACCCCGCCCCCTGCCCCACAAGTGATCCGTGCCAAGGGGGAGGCTGTTCTGTCCAGTTTGCCACCTTTATTTCCCATTCAGGCATCTGTGAGAGGCCCAGATGTGGTGATGAGGGGGGACAGCAGTGGGGTCAGCAGGCTGGAGGGGGCTGTGGGGGTTCCCCGGGTCCCGGCCCCTCTGGGAGGGAACGGCAGATCACAGAGATGCGACGGCTGCGGGGAATCCGTCGCTCCCCAAAAAAGGACTCCTCGTCCCGCAGGATCTCGTGGGAGAAGTCATACCGGACTGAGTCCCTGCGGGGAGGAAAAGGAGTGCGGGGTGAGGGCAGCTCGCCGTGGGGGAACCGATGACGTCTGCCACGTGGGTGACAGAAGGTGCTGGAAGCCGTGGGCAGGTGTCGGTGCCAACCTGAGGATGTACAGGGAGCCAGGCTCCAGCAGGAGTTCCAGCCAGTGCCCCGGCTCCTGGGTGTGCACCAGCCGCATGACGCTGGCGGACAGCAGGGACAGGCCGGCGATGGTGTCTCCGCAGAACTGCAAGAGGAGGGTCAGGGTGTGGGGGTCAGGCCCCGGCCCCACGCACACACCCCATCCCGACCCCACCCCAGGCCCTGTCCACCTTGACGCTGTCCACGTGGGGCTTGATGTAGCCGCGGGCATCCAGGTCCAGCACGTGCACGGAGGACAGCAGGGCCTGGCCGGGCCTGAAGGCCGCCACCTGCACGCGCTGCAGGATGGCCCGGCTGGCCTGGGACCAGCGTGACTTCTCAGTCTCCCGGAAGCCGTGGATGGCCTGGTGGGAGAGAGCTGGGATCATTCCCAAGCCGGCCCACGCCACACCTGTGACCGCAGCCAGGTTCCCAGTGGGCGTCAAGACCAAACACTATCCAGGTCTGACCTCGGGGTCCCCACCCAGAACTCCTCCACCCCCAAAAGCTGACAAGGCCTGGTCTCCTGCCGAGTCCCTTCTCGACCCTAACCTTGTTTCCAAAGCCCTCGGCTCCAGATCCGAGCTTCACAGCGCGCCTGCGCCCCAGGGCCCCAATCCCCCAGGCCCTGACCCCTCCAAGGCTAGGGGCTCCATCCTGCCCTGGCTCCGCCCCGGCCCAAACCCCGCCCACCAAGAGGCCCCACCCACCACAAGGCCACGGCCAAGGACCCTGATTGGCTTACAGCTCCCAGACAGGCCCCGCCCCCAAGGGCTTAGATTGGGTTCCAATTCTGGGACGGGCCACGCCCTCATCCTCGGGCCCCTCCCCTCCCAAGGCCCCGCCCCTCAGGGCTTAGATTGGGTTCCAATTCTGTGGGACGGGCCCCGCCCTCATCCTCGGGCCCCTCCCCTCCCAAGGCCCCGCCCCTTCCGGCCCCGCCCCGCCGCACCGCGTCCCAGTGGTCGTATTCGTAGCGGCGGCGCCGCAGCTCGGGCTCGAGCTCCCGGCTCAGCGTGTCCTCCTCGGCCGCGCTCAGGAAGCCGGGCCGCACGAGGACGGCGCCGCGCAGGCGGCTCAGCACGGCCGGGCAGGAGCCGCGGAGCCAGGCAGGCAGCGGCCCGGGGCCGGCCATCGCTCCGCAGCCGCCGCGCGGCCATTGGCTGAGGCAGGGCCGAGACTCTCCTGCGATTGGCTCGTTCCCGATCGAGGTCCGCCTCCCGCGCAAGGCTATTGGCTGCGCCAAGAACCCTCCTCCTCTCCTGCGCTGTTGGTGGCAGCGCCTGCAGCTGCCAAACCCATTGGTGCAGCGGCATGTCCGTCAGTCGCCTCGCCCCTTTCTGGCAGGTGGAAGGCGTCCGGGTCACAGCCTGGGAGAGCCAGGGTCAGGGTCATGGGGTCAGAGGGACAGGGGTCACAATGGGGCCGAGTTGGGGTCAGAAGTCAGCGCTCAGACGGTGTCCGAGTGGCCGGTTCGAGTTCCGGGGCTGGTTTCCCGCCAAGACAGCTCGGGGAACATGACCCCGATACTGGCTCCCTGCACCCCAAGGGAGACCCGGATGGCGCCCCTGTACTGGCTCCCTGCACCCCTAGGGAGACCCGGATGGCGCCCCTGTACTGCTCCCTGCACCCCAAGGGAGACCCGGATGGCGCCCCTGTACTGGCTCCCTGCACCCCAAGGGAGACCCGGATGGCGCCCCTGTACTGGCTCCCTGCACCCCTAGGGAGACCCGGATGGCGCCCCTGTACTGCTCCCTGCACCCCTAGGGAGACCCGGATGGCGCCCCTGTACTGCTCCCTGCACCCCAAGGGAGACCCGGATGGCGCCCCTGTACTGCTCCCTGCACCCCTAGGGAGACCCGGATGGCGCCCCTGATGGGGAAGAGAAGCGATGGAAGTCCCTTGCCTCGCAAATATAACCCAGAGAGAGGAGGGCCCGTCGCGCGAGCCTAGTGCCTAAAGCCCTCGCCTTACAAACGCTGGGATCTCATGGGCGTCAGTTCATGTCCCGGTGGCCCCGCTTCCCTTCCAGCTCCCTGCCTGTGGCCTGGGAAAGCAGAGGAGGATGGCCCAAAGCCTCGGAAAGACAATCAGCCTTTCCAATTATCATAAATACATCTGTAAAGACAATACAGGAAAGTCCCAGAAGGAAGTGGCCGTGCCCGCATGACTGCTGAGCTATTGGAACGAGCACTTTAATGCTGAACTCTGTCCTGCTTATGAATATCCTTGTCCGTGGGGGCAAAGCGCAAAGAAACGTGACCTCAAGTGCTTGCAACGAACTCATTTATTTCTTAACAACTGCCAGCATCACATATGGGCGCCGGTTCGTGTCCCAGCAGCCCCACTTCCCACCCAGCTCCCTGCCTGTGGCCTGGGAAAGCAGTGGAGGACGGCACAAGGCCTTGGGACCCTGCACCCGCATGGGAGACCTGGAGGAGGTCCTGGCTAGCACCCAGTGGATCCTGCGCCCTTCAACCCCCACGTTTTCGTTCTTGCTGCGCCCCACCTGCCAAGATGCAGAAGAGCTGGCTCCACGCCTTGCTCAGTCCCCATTGTTCCATGGCAGGTAGGCTTGTCCCTGGCCCCACACACATGGCGCCTTGCCCAGGCCTTGCCACCCCACCTCACACCCTGATGCTTACTGCCCACCCCGCCCCGGCTTCCCCAAGGGCGGCTTCCCCTCATGGCCCCGGTCCGTGGTGTCTGTGCTGCAAGGATGGAGGGTCCGGCCCGGGGTGCAGGGCATGGCGAGGCGGGCACATGCGCTTCCCCTGTCCCCATCATGGAGCGTGACGCAGGACCAGACCACAAAGGTTTAATCTGGAATCACAGTGTCTCGGGAGGCCTGCCTGTGTGGCCAGCTGGCTCAGGGGGTGCCCAGCTCAGGTCCCAGGGTGGCCAGCTCCAGGGGACCCCCCTCAGGTCCTAAGGGAGTGGGGTCCAGGCCTCAGACCCTGCTGGCATGGTGGGCTCCAGGGTATCCCCAGGTCCCGGGGTGGCGGGTCTGGGGCGTCCACTCAGGTCCCGGGTGGCAGAGTCCCCAGGGCTCAGGAGCCTGCTGGCGTGGGAGGGTCTGGGGTTGCTGCGGGCTCCTTCTGCACCAGCTCCGGCTCGTCCTCACCATCCTGGGGCGGGTGCACCAGCACCTTGTCCAGGATGCCGAATTCCTGGGCCTCCATGGGGCTCATGTAGCGGTCTCTCTCCATGGCCGACTCTGCGGGGGGCAGACAGCCTGGTGAGGGGAGGAGCCATGGGCGTGCCTTCCTGCCAGCCCCGCCCCCTCGGCACCAGGAGGCGGGGCCCAGGGCGTGGCTCTCTGTGCTCCCCGCGGGCGGCATGGCGCGGGGACCTCACCGATGACCTGCAGGCTCTGCTTGGTGTGCTTGGCGTAGATGGTGTACAGCTGTTTCTTCAGCTTCATGATCTCCTCGGCCTGGATGGCGATGTCCGTGGCCTGGCCCTGCGAGACGGGAACCCGGGCCGGTGGGGGGTGGACTCCTCTCCCCGCCTCCTGGCCCTCCGCCCATCCCGGCCACTCACCCGCGCGCCCCCCGAGGGCTGGTGGATCATGATGCGAGAGTTGGGCAGCGAGTGGCGCATGCCCGGGCTGCCGGCAGCCAGCAGCAGGGAGCCCATGCTGGCAGCCTGGCCCACGCACCAGGTACAGATGGGGTTCAGGATGTACTGCATGGTGTCGTAGATGGCCAGGCCTGCGGTCACCACGCCACCTGTGGCAGGAGGAGGGGGAGCTCAGGGGGGCTGGGCCAGGTCCTCCTGCCTAGCTACCCCCCCATGCCCTTCAAGCAGGGGATCCCCTGTGCCTCTGGGTGAGCCAGAGAGACGACTCAGACCCCAGCACTCGGGCCATCTCCCACTGCTCTCCCAGGCGCCTTAGCAGGGAGCTGGATGGCAAGCGGAGCAGCCAGGACTGGAACCAGCATCCTTACGGGCTGCTGGCACTGCAGGGGCAGCTTAGCTCGTGGCATCTGCCCAGTGCTGCCCAGTGCACCCACACACCGGAGCACAAGCCTGGGGCACTCCCTGGCCCGGGGGTCTCTCCGGAGTGCCCGCCCCGCTCACCAGGGCTGTTGATGTACATGTGGATGGGTTTCTTGTTGCTCTCCGACTGCAGGAAGAGCAGCTGGGCGATGACCAGGCTGGCCACGCTGTCATCGATCTGTGGGTGCCGGAAACGGTGGTCAGGGGGAGGTCAGGGGGAGGGCCCGGCGTGGGACACCGGGAGGGAGAGGCCAAACTTTGAGAGGTCAGATGGGGCAGTACCAGGGAAGGAGGGGGATGGGAACCAGGGAGAGAGGGGGATGGGGACCAGGGAGAAGGGGGATGGGGACCAGGGAGAGAGGGGGATGGGGACCAGGGAGAAGGGGGATGGGGACCAGGGAGAAGGGGGATGGGGACCAGGCAGGAAGGGGGATGGGGACCAGGGAGGAAGGGGGATGGGGACCAGGGAGAAGGGGGATGGGGACCAGGCAGGAAGGGGGATGGGGACCAGGGAGAAGGGGGATGGGGGCCAGGGAGAAGGGGGATGGGGACCAGGGAGGAAGGGGGATGGGGGCCAGGGAGGAAGGGGGATGGGAACCAGGCAGGAAGGGGGATGGGGACCAGGGAGAAGGGGGATGGGGACCAGGGAGGAAGGGGTCTTAATGGTCAGGGGATTGGGTGGGAGGGGACGTGAAGCCAGGAGTGAGGAGGGCGCTGCTGGGGAAGGGGGTCGGGGGTGAGGGGTCAGGGGTCAGGGGTCAGGGCCGCCCAGCAGGTGGCGCTCACCGGGCCCATGACGCACACAATGCGCTCCCGCAGCAGCCGCGAGTAGATGTCGTAGGCGCGTTCGCCGCGACCCTGGGACGTCGGGGAGACAGCGGTGAGGGGTCGGGGTCCGGGCCGTACCCCGAAACCCGACTCCACCCCGCGAGGGCCGCGCTACCGTCTGCTCCACCACGATGGGGATGAGCGGCGCGGCCCGGGCCGCCGTCGCGTGCAGGCTCCGCCGCCAGGGGCAGCGCGCGGCCAGGAGGGGACCCAGCGCGGACCACCGGCCGGACGCCACCCGGGACCCCCGGGCCAAGACTGCCGGCCACATGGCGTCCCGCGTCCCTGTCGGCTTCCGTGCGACGGCGGGACTACAACTCCCGGTGCGCTCCGCGCCAGGAACGCCCACTTCCGCGCGACGGCGGGACTACAACTTCCGCGCGACGGCGAGACTACAACTCCCGGCGCGCTCCGCGCCAGGAACGCCCACTTCCGTGCGACGGCGGGACTACAACTTCCGCGCGACGGCGGGAATATCGGCTGGCACCATCGCTGGGTGACCACCAGGTGGCAGTGCAGCCTCACGCTGCTCTCGCCGCGGCCGGCACCATCGCTGGGTGACCACCAGGTGGCAGTGCAGCCTCACGCTGCTCTCGCCGCGGCCGGCACCATGGCTGCCCGCCCCTCTCCCCAGGCACACAGACCCTCTAGTGCCGCTTCTCGCAGCAGGATGTGCTGCAGCCAAGCCCCCTGCGCTCTGCCCTCCGAGCCGCCGAGTCCCCGCCTGCTTCGTGATGGAGACCGCCGGCAGACGCACGCCGTGATAGAGACCAGGGTCGAGGCCAGCAGAACCAGAGGTGGCGGCTGCACCGTGGTGAGGTGGGACAGCGGGGTGGAGGAGGAGGAGGAGGAGGAGGAGGAGGAGGAGGACAGCGGGGTGGAGGAGCGCACAGATGGCGGGACGCTGGGCAATCTGAAGCCAGAGGCCCCTTCTTTGTCTCCCATGCGGGTGCAGGGTCCCAAGGCTCTGGGCCGTCCTCCACTGCTTTCCCAGGCCACAGGCAGGGAGCTGGATGGAAAGTGGAGCTGCCGGGACTAGAACTGGCGCCCATGTGGGATCCTGGCGCTTTCAAGGCGAGGACTTCAGCTGCTAGGCCACGCCGCTGGGCCCCATTCAGTTCTTCAAATAGATGAGAATAAACATTTTGGAAAAGTTCAGGGCCATTGAGTGTCCTTGCGATGTGAAGCCATTGCCTGTGTGGAGTCCAGAATGTTCCTGTTGCCTCCAGAGAGAAGTCTGTCCCAGGGGCCGACACCCCCTGTTCCCTCCCCCAGCCCCGAGCATCCGTCCTCCGAGGCGGCATAACGTGCCAGTGGGATCGCACAGCCCAGGATTGGCACGCATCAGTACTTGGTGCCCTAAGGGCCTGATTGGGCTCCGTCGTTGTTGGTTCCGTTGTTGGGTGGTCGCGTTGTTGGCTCCGTTGTTGGTTCCGTTGTTGGGTGGTCGCATTGCTGGCTCTGTTGCTGGGTGGTCACGTTGTTGGGTGGTCACGTTGTCGGTTCCGTTCTTGGGTGGTCGCGTTGTTGGCTCCGTTGTTGGGTGGTCGCGTTGTTGGCTCCGTTGTTGGGTGTCACCTTGTTAACTTGTCGTTGGAGGTTGTTACGCTGCGCTTTTCCGTTGGAACACCTTTGCTCACAGGAAAGACAGAACCCAAGTTTTGTTTTGCTTTTGCAATGGGACAGTGTTCACGTGACGAGTCCGTTTTAAGCGGACCCTTGGATTCATTCTGACACAGGTCTGCTCGCGTAACCGTGGCCTCCGTCCACCCCGTAGGGCCATTTTCCAAACAGTGGATCAAGGCAGGTGGGTGGCACGGTACATTTCATCGTGACGTGTGATGCCCACAGTCTATGTAGGAAGGCTTGGTTTGAACCCCGCACTGCTTGCCTGCACTCTAACACACACTCTAAGAGGCTACAGTTTGGGCCTGGCTCAGTAGCCTAGTGGCTAAAATCCTCACCTTACATCCTGCAGGATCCCCTAAGGTCGCTGGTTCACGTCCCGGCTGCTCCACTTCCCATCCAGCTCCCTGCCTGTGGCCTGGGAAAGCAGTGGAGGACGGCCCAAAGCTTTGGGACCCTGCACCCGCGTGGGAGACCCAAAAGAAGCTCCTGGCTCCTGGCTTCAGATTGGCTCAGCTCCAGCCATTGTGGCTGCTTAGGGAGTGCAAGATTTTTTTTTTTCTTCTCTGTATAAGTCTGACTTTGCGATAAAAATAAATAAATCTTAAAAAAAAAAAAAAAGAGGCTGCGAGTGATGGCTCAAGCCCTTGGGTGCCTGCTCGCCTCGTGGCGGTCCTGCGCGGAGTTTCCCGGCTTTGCCCGGCCCAGCTCCGGCTGCTGGAGGTCCTTCGGGGGAACGACCCCTCAGATGGAAGAGCTTGCTCTCCGTATTCTCTCTCAAGTAGATGGAAATGAAATCAAATCAGCTTTCAAAGTTTTATTGACTTATTGGGGAGGCAGTCAGAGACAGGAAAGGGAGGGAGCCCGCACCCAACGGGTCACTCCCAGACACCTGTGCTAGCCGGGGCTGGGCCAGGATCCGAGACGTCGGGTGCGAGGTGCACAGGGCAGGGTGAAGGGCCAGGGCGCTCACAGACCTGCCTCCCACCCTGCTGTCACTCCCTGGTGCCCACGCCTCCTGCCACGTGACAAATGCACACAGCCCTCCTCTCTCTCTCACTTCCTTTCTTCTTTTTTTGTTTTTTTTTTTTTTGAAGATTTATTTATTTTTGTCGGAAAGCCAGATATACAGAGAGGAAGAGAGAGAAAATTTTCCATCTGCTGGTTTATCCCCCCACAAGTGGCCGCAACGGCCGGTGCTGCGCCGATCTGAAGCCAGGAGCCAGGAGCCTCTTCTGGGTCCCCCACACACGGGTGCAGGGTCCCAAGGCTTTGGGCCGTCCTCCACTGCTTTCCCAGGCCACAGGCAGGGATTTATGCTGAGACGTTATTGGCCCCGTATCTTATCTGACATTCAGACTTAGTCAGGCATCTGTGTTTTACCTGGCAGCTCTCCTCCGGGTGCAGTGGGGTCCTGGGTTTGGCAGGGGGCGGGGATGCGTAGCTGGGGCATACTCCGTTCCAAGGCTGTACTCTGTGTGTGTGTGTGTATGTGTGTGTGTGTGTGAGAGGAGGGCGGGAGCCAGGAAGGAAGGTGCCAGGCGAGGTGCCCTGTCCTGCCTCTGGCCAGTCTCTCCTCTTCCCTCCCCCACGAGCCGTCGCAATCCTGGGTGTGTTCAGGTTGTGCCTGCCGGACTGGCTGGGAGCTCTTGGGACTGCCTTCCTCCTTGTAGAAGCAGCATCTGGGGCTCCCACGCTCACCGACATCCACCTGTGGCCGGGGAGGGAGTGTGGGCCCCCCTCGCGTCAGCGCTGGCACGAGCTGCCTTGTCCACGTGTGCTCCTGGAAGTCCCAGGCATGCAGGAAACACGGGGCAGCCTCATGTCCTCAAGGCTTGGTTAGGTCATGAACTTGCCAGAATTCACATCTTTCTCAACTCAGAGGGATCCATCCTGATGCAACTTTTTTTTTTTTAAGATTTATTTATTTTCATTGGAAAGTCAGATATACAACGAGGAGGAAAGCCAGAGAGGAAAACCTTCCATCCGATGAGTCACTCCCCAAGTGGCCGCAACAGCCAGACCTGCGCCGATCTGGAGCCAGGAATTTCCTCCAGGTCTCCCATGCAGGTGCAGGGTCCCAAGGCTTTGGGCCATCCTCCACTGCTTTCCCAGGCCACAGGCAGGGAGCTGGATGGAAGTGGAGCAGCCGGGATTAGAACTGGTGCCCCTGTGGGATCCCAGCCGTTGCAAGGCAAGGATTTACCCAAGTAGGCTTTTGCGCTGGGCACCTGATGCACTTTTGTATACCCATCCGTGTGTCAATTATGAAACTGGATTGGTTTCTATTTTTTCAAATACTTATTTTGTATATTTGAAAGGCAATGGGAGAGAGCGGGAGAAATCTTACATCTGCTGATTCATTCTCTCCACAATGACAACGGCCAGAGTTGGGCCGGAACACCTCCTCCCGTCTGCCCCGTGTGCGTGCAGGGTCCCGGGGACCCGGGTCACTTTCCACTGCTTTTTTCAAGCGCATTAGCAGGAAACCAGATCATAAGTGGAACAGCCGGGACTTGAACTGGGACACGTGTGGGATGCCAGCCCTGCCGAACCCACTACACCACCCTTGCCAGCCTTAATGAGAAAATGCATAAATAAAATTTAAAAGAGGCAAAGAGAGCTCCCAGGCAGATGCCAGGATGGACTGGGCTAAACGCAGGAGCCTAGAAACATCACCTGTGTCCCCTGTGCGGGTGGCAGGAGCTCCAGCTCTCAGAGCATGCCCCCCTGTCTCTCAGGGTGGGCTTTCGCAGGGAGTCAGGGGCAGGGGCAGAGACGGAGGCTCAGGGCCAGACCCTGCAGCGCTGGGCATCCTCAGTGGGGGGCGCTCACTCCGGGCACCAGCCACCTGCCGGCTCCGTGAACTTTTTCTTAATCTCGTTAGAATCTTGCAGGAAGCCACAGGTAGTCTTCGAGCGCCCGCCCCGTCCCCACGCCCGTCCAGCCGCCCGCCCGTCTCCCAAGATAACATCTACAACCAGACCATGTCAAAGCCAGTGAGTGACTTCGCGCCGATAGCATCTCTCCTGGCTTGTGTAAGTTTCACCAGCTTTGATCCCCATTTCCGTGCCGTGTGCATGGGAAAACGCCGCCTGGCTTAACACATCTTCCCGCCCGCGCCCCCCGAGGAGCTGGCATCCCCAGAAAGTGGATGCTGCACACACAGATGATGAGCCAGCTGGGAAAGGAATCGCACATCCCCAGCTTCCAGCCGGGTCCTGGAAGGGGAGTGAGCAGCAAGGGGGACAGGGAGGTGTTGTCTCCAGGCCCAGCTGAAGGGCGAGGAAGCAGAGGTTTGGAGAGTGAAGTGCCCGGTCGTGTGACCTGAGATAAACTGCTCGACTTCTCTGGGCTGAGGGTTTCTCGGCGAGGCACCTGGAGACAGTGTTTTCTCTCTTTTAGGGCTGTCAAAGAATGTTCAATGAGGGGGCCCGGCACGGTAGCCTAGCTGCTAAGGTCCTTGCCTTGAATGCGCCAGGATCCCATATCGGTGCTTGTTCTAATCCCGGCTGCTCCACTCCCCACCCAGCTCCCTGCCTGTGGCCTGGGAAAGCAGTGGAGGACGGCCCAAAGCCTTGGGACCCTGCACCTGCATGGGAGACCTGGAACAAGCTCCTGGCTTTGGATCGGCTCAGCTCCAGCTGTTGCAGCCACTTGGGGAGTGAACCAGCCGATGGAAAAATCTTCCTCTGTCTCTCCTCTCTGTAAAATCTGCCTTTCCAGTAAAAAAATAAATAAATTTTACAAAATAAAAACCAAAGCATGTTCAGCGAGGGACAGGTGCTCGGCACAGCGGGGAGGACATTTGCCTTGTCTGTATCCAAGCTTGGAGCGTCTGAGTTTGAAAACCGTCGGTCCAAGTTTTCTGCCAAGACAGACCCCAGAAAACCAAGACTGGGCATCCCGGACCAGCAGCCCCAGGAGTGACCCTGCCCTCAGAGGCGCTGTGGAGGTGGCTCTCGGTGCCAGATGGGACATTGCACAAGCTCTTCAATCCATTTTCAGAGTACAGATGCGAGACGCAGACCGCCCAAGGTGGAAATGGCCCGGCAAGTTAAAGCAAAGTGTTTGAGAAATAGGCGGAGGGGTGAGGACTTAGCCCACCCTGGAATTTCCTGAAGCATTTTCCAGCTCCTGACACCAGCTTCCTGCCCGTGTAGACCCCGTGGGGCAACACGTGTGGCCCAGCTCCTACCCGGCTCCCACCCACGTGGGTCCCAGCCTCCAGCTGTTACTGGCGTTTGGGAAATGAACCAGGAGATGCCACATCTTTTGAATATGTTTCTCTGCTAATCAAGTAATAAAATAAATGACTAATTTATTTGGAAGGGAGCGTTACAGAGAGAGAGAGAGAAGAAAAAGAGACAAATCTCTTATCCACTGGCTCATTCCCCAATGGCCAGGGCTGCAGCAGTCCAAAGCCAGGAGCCAGGAACTTCTTCTGGGTCTCCCACGCAGGTGCAGGGTCCCAAAGCTTTGAGCCGTCCTGCTTTCCCAGGCCACAGGCAGGAGGAAGCTGGATGGGAAGTGGAGCAGCCGGGACGCAAACCGGTGCTCATATGGGATGCTTGGGCTTGGAGGTGGAGGATCAGCCAATTGAGCCATGGTGCCGGGCCCCTTATATTGGTTTTTTTTTTTTTTTTAATCCTATGTGTCTTTTTGTGAATTCTCGGAAGACCTCTGGAAAGCATGGATTTCAGAAAGCCCCCTGTGGGTAGCAAAGACTCCTCAGGGGATCTGGGCTGAACCCACTTAGGTGGGTTTCCCTAAGACTTAGGTAGGAAAGCCCAGCGGTGGAGAGCCCAGAGCCTGGAGCCATCCTGGCCTCACCACTGGGGGCGAGGGGTGGAGGAGTGAGGGTTTTGCTCCAGGCCTCCGTTTGTCCCTCTGTGGAATGGGTAGAGTGGTCCCATCACTCACCTCCATGAGCTCTGGCTTGCTTCCAATACCAATTAGCAATCCTCCACACCCTAATTCCCACATCTCCCGGCCTCCTCCCTGCCCTGCCTGGCCGGTCCGGGCCTCTGGGGAATGCCCAAGGCCACCAGCGCCACACACCTCAGCCGGGCCATCCCAGCGACAGGCAGCCCAGAGTGGCTCAGCAGGTTTTTCCTCTCGGGCCCGCCTGCTCTCCCCGCCTCACCCTGGCCCGGCCCCCTCTCTCTGGGCGGCTGGCTCTCCCGCCGGCAGCTCCTGCCCGCTCCACTCGGCCAGGCGCAGCCAGCGGGCGGCAGGCATGCCCAGCATCTTCGCGTACCAGAGCTCCGAGGTAGACTGGTGTGAGACCAACTTCCAGCACTCGGAACTGGTGGCCGAGTTCTACAACACGGTGAGGCCAGGGGGTGCCCAGGGTGGCCGGCAGCCAGCGGGCGGGGGGGCCACAGGTTCAAATCCCGGCTCCCCAGGAAATGGGCAGGGTTGGCTGGCGTGACTCCTTGTGTCTTTTATTTTTTTTTTTAAGATTTATTCATTTCAAAGAGTTATTGAGACAGGAAGAGAGATTTTTGCATATGTTGGTTCACTCCGCAAAGCCTTGCAACAGCCAGAGAGGGGCGGGTCCCGAGTAGGAGCCTGGAGCTTCTTCCAGGTCTCCCAGGTGGGTGGCGGGGGCCTATGCAGTGGGGCTGGCACTTTCCGCTGCTTTCCCTGGTGTATCAGCAGGGAGCTGGGTGGGAAGCAGAGCAGCTGGAACTGGAGCTGGCACCTATAAGGGTCGTTCCTGTGCAGAAGGCACAGATATGCCCTCAGGCATCGCTTTAGGGTGAGGATGGGGGTGTGTGTGGTGGGGGGAGGACGTGCTGGCAGTTGCTGGGCATTGGGCAGAGCAGGGTCACCAGGGGATAGAGCAGGGTAGGCTTCCTGGAGGAGGAGGTTGCGTCTGAGCTGCCTGCCTGCACTGGCGCCCACAGCGGAGGGGCACTGACCCGCCTGGGCGCTGAGCATGCCACCTCCCAGGACGGCGTCTGAGGCCTGTTGACACCCACGGAGCGTGGCCTGGAAAGCTCGCACATGCGTCCGTGGCGGTGACATTCAGCCAGCGCTGCTGAGACTGGGGCAGCCAGATGGGTTCCGTGCTGTGCCTGCACAGGCTGCCGGGCGCACAGCTGTGCGAGGCGAGGCTCTGGGCTCTGTGGAGCTCCTGCCATGAGGCCGCAGGGCCCTGCAGGTCACCTGTGCTGGGCTTCCCGCCATGTACGCCATGGAACCCGTGGGCGATGGGCTTTTGGGGGCACTTGGCTACACACTTTGTGTGGGCTGCCATAACATCTTCCCAGATTCACCATGACTGGGACGGGAACCGCGAGGGTACCCCGCAGAATTCATGCAGAGTGGGGTTAATGCAAAAGTTGATTTGGGTGCAGAAATTTTTTCCAAACGTGTGTGTGTGTGTGTGTGTGTGTGTGTGAACTATCTCCGATCGTGCAGGAGAAAAGGGTGTGTGTGTTTGAGATAGAAGAATTCAGCATGGATTCCAAGTTTGTGGATGCTAAAATGAACTTTTTCTTTTTTTAAAAAAAAACCTTTATATTGAAAGAATTATAGGGAGAGAGAAGAAAGAGAGAGCTGGTCAATCTGAAGCCAGGAGCCAGGAGCCTCTTCTGGGTCTCCCACATGGGTACAGGGTCCCAAGGCTTTGGACCGTCCTCCACTGCTTTCCCAGGCCACAGGCAGGGAGCTGGGTGGGAAGTGGAGCAGTCGGGATTAGAACCTGCACCCATATGGGATCTGCGTCACTTGAAAGGTGAAGATTTTATGCATGGAGCCATTGGACTCCACATATCTTTTAAAAATTCCACTTCTCCGTGGATTTTATCCATATAAATATTGTGAATTTATTTGTACTTTATTTGAAAGGTGCGAAAAGAGAGATGGAGGGAAAATTTTTGTTTGCTGGATCCTTTCCCAGGCACCCTCCGTGGTTAGTGTGCTGTGGCACAGCTAGGAGCTCAGACCTCATGGGGTCTCCCACACGAGTGACAAGGACCCAGGAACTCGGGCGTGATGTGCCGCTTCCCGGGGTGTGCTTGAGCTGGGAGCTAGATGGGAAGTGCAGCCTGGATTCGAACCCCGGGCCTGTGGGTGCGGCACTCACGTCACTCCTGAAGTTCCTGAAGAGCGTTCGTGGAACTCTCCGAAAGTCAGAGCGTGTCCCAAAACCCTTTCCCTGCCACAGTGAGTGAGACCTGCCACGACACGCTGAGCACGGTGGCGTGGGCGGCGAGTTCCTGGATGGAGCCAGCTGGGATGGTTCTGGCTCTGCGGCCTCGTGGCCTCTGTTGCAACGCCGATTGGGCCTTGTAGGGCGAGAGCAGCCGTGAGGGACAGCTCGCAGAGGGTCGGGCGTGACTCTGTCAATCAAACTGGATGGGCACCGCATGGTGGATTTCATATAATTGTCATATGTCATAAAAAAATAAAACCTTTCCATTTCTGTTTCAGACATTTAAAATGTAAATTTTTTTGAAGATTTATTTATTTTTATCAGGAAAGGCAGAGTTACAGAGAGAAGGAGAGACAGAGAAAGAAAGATCTTCCGTCTGCTGGTTCACTCCCCAAGTAGCCGCAACGGCCAGAGCTGAGCTGATCTGAAGCCAGGAGCCAGGAGCTTTTCCCGGGTGCCCCTCATGGGTACAGGGTCCCAAGGCTCTGGGCCGTCCTCCACTGCTTTCCCAGGCCACAGGCAGGGAGCTGGATGGGAAGTGGAACAGCCGGGATTAGAACCAGTGCCAATGTGGGATACTGGTGCTTGAAAGGTGAGGATTTGACCATTGAGCCATCACACCAGGCCCATAAATATTGTTCTAAATTCACAGGCCATGCAGGACAGCTGTAAAAATTTGAGGAAAAGCAGAATTCAGAGCTACGCTTGGGCAGGCAATGCAGAATTGAGTCGGCATTGGGATGCCTGGATCCCGGGTCGGAGTGCCTGGCTGAAGTCCTGGCTGACTCCCCGTGTAACGGAAGCATCAGCCTGTATCTCTGTCAAGAGCCAGAACACGAGCGATTGTTCAGCTGCGCATTCACTCCCCAGATGGCCACAGCAGCCAGGGCTGGACCAGGCCAAAGCCAGGCGCTTGGGACTCCACCTGGGCCTCCCATGCAGGTGGCTGGGACCCAAGCTCCTGTCCCCTCGTGTTTCCCAGGCGCAGGAGCCAGGACCCAACGCCACACTCCTACAGGGGATGTGGCAGCTGTGCCCAGTCCCGGTTCCTGCTGTGCAGGTCCAGGTCAGCTTCTGCCAGCGAGTGCTCTGGGAAGCAGTAGGCGATCGCTGGAGTCCTTGGGTTTCTGTTGCCCACGCAGGAGCCTGGACGGAGCTCCTGGCCGCTCGAGTTGGCCTGGTCCGGCTCTGGCTGTTGTGGGCCTGCGACTCAGCTGATGGAAAAACTTTCTCTCGGTTTCTGCCTTCTGTGTGGCTACTTTTATTAGACATAGAAGAAAAAGACATGGTCTCTTGGCACTGGGGCATAAAAAGATAAGCCTCTGCAAGCAGCATTGGCATCCCATAGGGGCATCGGTTCTAATCCTGGCGGCCCTGCTTCCCATCCAGCTCCCTGCCTGTGGCCTGGGAAAGCAGTGGAGGACGGCCCAGAGCCTTGGGACCCTGCATCCACTTGGGGGACCCGGAAGAAGCTCCTGGCTTCGGATCAGCTCAGCTCTGGCCATTGCAGCCACTTGGGGAGTGAACCAGCAGATGGAAGATGTTTCTGTCTCTCCTTCTCTCTGTAAATCTGATTTTCCAGTGAACATAAATAAATCATTAAAAGGAAGAAGAAGAAATGGTAAAGCGAGAGCTGGTCTGTTCAGGGTGCACTGAGAGCGTGGAGGAGGCGGGGGGGACCAGCTTGTCACCGATGCCGCGTCGGGGTGCTGCTGAATCCTCCTGTGTGCACCCCGACGCCGTGAGCCAACCCCCTGCAGGCGCTCTGCTGTGGAGGGGCTGGTCCCAACACAAAGACAGGCTCTACCAGCCCCACCTGAGGTGGAGAGAGGGATGGGGGCTGGGCTGGAGGTGGGGGAGGCACCGCTTGCTGAAGGAGGCAATGCCAGCCGTACCAGAAGATTGGTCTCTTGGGGGGTCGCGGAGGCCGTGTGCGCAAAGGCCCTGGGGTAAGAAAATGTAGCTGGCAGGTCTCAGTGGCGGCTTGGAGCCCAAGCAGGCAGGAGTGTCCTGGGGCCAAGGCAGGAATGCCAAGTTGAGGGGTGTGGGCTCCCTTTTGAGGGCACCGGGCAGAGGAGGAGAGGCACAAGACCTAGGGTCTCGTTTGAAGTCAGGGGTGTTGGGAGTGCTGGCTTCCAGTGGCATGGGGCGGGGCGGGGGGGACATCAGGGCATGGGCCGTGCCCGTCTGCACCTGCTTGCCTCTGCCTCCGTGCCCATGCCGCCGGCTGCCAGGCGCTCCCCTCTGGCGCTCCTGCTGACTGCTCTAAGTACTAAATGGTGCTGAAAATGCGAACACCATGCTTAGTTTTATCTGCCTTCATCTATTTGACGTACAGAGTCGGAGAATGTGCGTTTCGGTTTCCTGATTCATTCCCCAAACAGCTGCAACAGCCAGGGCTGGCTGGACCAGGTGGAAGCCAGGAGCCCAGGAGCCTGCAGCCTCATCCGAGTCTCCCACGGGAGTGGTGGCCGGGACCCAAGGGTTTGAGCCATCATGGGCTGCTGACCCCGAGCCTGCATGAGCTGGAGGAAACGCCGGGGAACTGGGCCACAAACCCACATGTTCTGCCCCGAGGGGCGGGTGGTCCCAAGTGGGGAGACTTGCAAGCGAGGATTGTTGATTATGTCATCGTAGGTAGGTCTCTCTTTCACTGAGGTGTAAAGGAAGTGGCCCACAGCTCCTGGTACATCGCAAGTGTGAAGTGAGCTCGAGTTGTGAAAGCGACGTTTATCATCTTTGCTTCTTGAGAGTTTTATGGAGTCCGAAGTCCTGGCAAGGAGGTCCTCCCTCCTGCCGCCCTTGTCACACCCCTCCCTGTCCCGCCCGGCCTCTGGATGTGCGCCCAGTGAGTGCTTGCTGGTGACCGTCCTCAGCAGGTGTCAGGAGCCCGGTGGGAGGGGTGGCAGGGTGATGTTGGAAAGGCAGAATTCACACACACACACACACACACACACACACACACGCTATCCACAGGCTTACTTCCCAAACGGGCACAGCGCCCAGGTCTCGCTGAGAGTGGTGGCGGGGACCAACAGACCTGAACCTTTGTCCGCTGCCTCCACAAGGCACATCAGCAGGGAGTTGGATGGAAAGTGGAGCAGCCAGGGCTTGAACCTGCACTTCAGTATGGGATGCTGGGGTCACAGGTGGCAGTCAAACTCGCCTTGCGTCACATTCCCAGCCCCACCATGTGGTCCTTAATGTAGAGGAGGTTCTGAGCCCAGCACGGTAGCCTAGTGGCTGGCCTTCTTACCTTGCACGTGCTGGGATCCCATATAGGCGCCGGTTCATATCCCAGCTACTCCACTTCCCACCCAGCTCCCTGCTTGTGGCCTGGGAAAGCACTGGAGGATGGCCCAAAGCCTTGGGACCCTGCACCTGCTTGGGAGACCCAAAAGAAGCTCCTGGCTTTGGATCAGCTCAGCTCCGGTTGTTGCGGCTACTTGGAGGGCCAAGCAGTGGATGGGAGATCCTTCTGTCTGTCTCTTCTTCTCTCTGTATATCTGACTTTCCAAGAAAAACAAATAACTCTTTAAAAAAAAAAATAGAGGAGGTTTTTCAGGAGTGGGTGATGGATGGATGGGGTGAAGTCCCCCGCTGCGGCTGGCACCCTGGGCCGGGGTTGCTGAGCTGTCAGCTGGCTGGGGCTCCGGAGCTGCTCTGGGTGGCCTGGGTGGGGTGTGAGGCTGAGTGCTACAGGGCAGGGCGGGAGACCCTGGCACCAGGACTGTCGCTGCTGCTGATGTTTATCGAGGCCCCAGAGCCGGTTGGGGCCCTTTCTGGACCCCACCCGCTGCTGCTGCTGCGCCTTCACTCCGGAAACTCGCACCCCCCACCGCACCCCTCGCGCCCACGTTCTGGTCTCAGGTGCAGTGATAGGTGGCGCCTGTGTCTCCGGCCGCGCCATCTCCCCGGAGCCTGGCCTCGAGGGTGCCCGCAGCAATGCTGATGTTTGATCTGCTGCCAGAGGTATCATTAGGTCAGACCTGGAGGCGGCAGTGGGCCCCGTCCGGGCAACCTCGGAGGAGGCGACTTCGCACCCCTGAGACAGCCCTGGAAAAGCACAGGAAAAGCGGAGCTTGCGGGCACGTGGGGAGGGGCACGAGGTGCGAGGACGGGACACGGCCGTGGCCCTGGTGTGCACTCTGACCTTGGGGAGACTCTGGTTAAGTCCTGAAGACACACTGGTCCCAGTCGGAAGGACTGACTTTGACAGCTGCTTCACTCCCCGTGCCACTCGTCCCAGCTGGTTCACTCCGCACGCCAGCCTCCCTGCTACTGCACACCCTGGGCAGCCGCAGGGGACGGCTCAGGGGCTTGGGCCCCTGTATCCACGGGGAAGATCTGAATAGAGCCGCTGGCTCCTGGCTTCAGCCTGACCCAGTTGTGGCTGTTGTGGGCATTTGCGGCTTGAACCAATGGATGGGAGATCTCTCTCCCTCTGTAGGTTCATTCTCTGACTCTCACATGAATGAATTGATTAATGAAACATGTTCTTTTTTTTTTTTAAGATTTATTTATTTTATTGCAAAGTCAGCTATATATACAGAGGAGGAGAGACAGAGAAATATCTTCTGCCTGATGATCCACTCCCCAAGTGGCCACAATGGCTGGGGCTGAGCTGATCCAAAGCCAGGAGCCAGGAGCCTCTTCCGGGTCTCCCATGTGGGTGCAGGGTCCCAAAGCTTTGGGCCGTCCTTGACTGCTTTCCTGGGCCACAGGCAGGGAGCTGGATGGGAAGTGGAGCAGCCGGGATTAGAACCAGTGCCCCGTGGGATGCCGGCACCACAGGTGTAGGCTTAGTCTACTACTGCATGGCATCAGCCCCACATGGTGTCGTTTATCTAGAACTTTCTACGTGTAAAATCTTCCGCACAGTGTCTTCACACGTGTGATAGCTGAGCCATGTGGTTCCCCAGTGAGTGTTGGTAGAATGTCATGTTCTTGGTCCTCGGGGTACAACGGAAGACAGGAAGCCCAGAACAGCTGCTCTGTGTGTGTGTGTGTGTGTGTGTGTGTGTGTGTGTAGGGATATGCAACTTCCAAGAGGATGGGACGTGTTAGGGCCCTCGCACCTGCCCTGGTCTGGGGGTGACTGGGGGATCTTCTGCTGCAAAAATGACACCCAGAGACAAGGCATGTCGGGCGGCCATTGGCTTGGGCAAAGAGGTGAGGAGGAGGAGGTGAGGTTGGTCCAGGGGGTGGGCACAGCTCAGGCAGAACCCTGAAGGTCAGGGACACCCCGCTGTCCTTCCCTGAGCAGGTGGCAAAGTCAGGCAGCCGAGAGTGGTGGGTGGAGTCACAAGTCGGGTTGAGCGGCTGGATGTTACAGAGAGAGGCTGCGTATATGGGTTCCCAGTGGCGCACAGGAGCTGCGGAGACGGGCTGCGGAGACGGGCTGGGTCAGCATCTTTGCGGAGTGTTGATGCGCCCAGGGCTGGAGGCTGAGGCAGTGCTGGGAGGGAAGCAAAGAGAGAAAGAGAGAGAGAGGGGACTGGGGGAGGTGTGGGCTTGGGGTGAAAGGGGTTGGCCCCAGACCTGCCTGCCACGGGACCTAGCCAAGAGGAAGGACTGCTGGCCACAGGGACAGTGGCCCGAGGTGTGGCCAGCCTGTCCGTGCCGTCCTATAACCTGTTTTTCATTGCCAACAACACAATGGCATGGGTGGGGTAAGAAGTTTGTCCTGGCCCACGGCTCCTCTGGGCCAAAGTCGAAGGCTTGCACCAGATCCAAAGAGTTCGAAGGTGAGAGCCGAGGGGGAGGTGTCGGGACGGGCCTGGCCCCGCCACCAACGCTGCCAGCTTCTGAGATAAGCCAATCGGCTTCATCCGTGAATCACAGACCCATGGGTGTGAGAGGGCAGAGTCCCTCACTGTCTTCTAATCGGAGATTAAACTTCAACAAGGGGCTGGGCCACCCCAAGGGGAATGCCCCCACCCGCACCTCGTGGGCCCCCCAAAACCACAGCATCTCTGGTGCTTGACTCCAGCTCCCTGCTGACATGCACCTTGGGGTACCAGGAGACACCTTAAGTAGGTGGGTGCCCGCCAACTGCCCCCCCCCCCCACAGGAGCTGGATGGAGTTTCCGGTTCCCTGGCCCAGCCCTGGTCCTTACTGACATCACAGGTGTGAACCAGCAGGCGGCCCCTCTCTCTGTTTTGTAAAAGATTTATTTATTTTTATTGGAAAGTCACATATACACAGAGGAGGAGAGACAGAGAGGAAGATCCTCCATCTGCTGGTTCATTCCGCAAGTGGTTGCATCGGCTGGAGCTGAGCTGATCTGAAGCCAGGAGCCTCTTCTGGAGTTTCTTCCAGGTCTCCCACGCGGGTGCAGGGTCCCAAGGCTTTGGGCCGTCCTCCAGTGCTTTCCCAGGCCACAGGCAGGGAGCTGGATAGGAAGTGGGGCCGCCGGGATTAGAACTGGCGCCCGTAGGGGATCTGTGCATATCCGCCTTTCCAATAGAAATACATATTAAAAAAAACCACCCCTAGATTGCTGTCGGTAGTGGCCAGATTGATCCCTGGTTGGTTTATTCTGTGAGTGCTGAACCTGGCGGGGGGGGGGGGGCGGGCATTGCTGGGGAGGCAGGGCTTCTTCTAAAAGGAAAGCGGGGAGGTTTAGCCTAGCAGTGGAGACCCCGGAGTGTCTGGGGTCTGACTCCGTGCTTTGCCCCTGATCCCAGCTTCTTCTGCATACAGACTGTGGGAAGCACCAGTGACAGGGCTCAGGGGTGGGGGATCCCCTGACCCCAGGTGGTTGGGGAAAGACTGTTCCCCAGCTTCTACCCCCAAGCCCACCCCAGTCACCGTCAAGGTCAGCTCAGAGATGGACAGGCTATAGTGAAGGAGTGATGAATTCTGCCCAAATGGTGAGAGAGGACCCCGGCGCTAACCACGAGCATCCCGGCCTAACCTCCCCCTGCTCCGCCTCCCGCAGTTCAGCAATGTCTCCTTTCTCATCCTGGGACCCCTCATGACGTTCCTGATGCACCCCTACGTCCAGAGGCGCTCCCGTGGCAGCTACGGCAGTTTGTTTCTCTTCACCATCACAGGTAGAACTTGGGGCTGGCGGGGTGGTGAGCTGGGGTGCCCCCCAGTCCTCCCAGATGCCCGTGCCCACCAGCGCGCCCACCCCTCTATGCCTCTGCGCTCTCTGCCCCGCCCTCCCAGGTCTGTTCTCCATGTACTTCCACATGACTCTCAGTTTCCTGGGGCAGCTGTTGGACGAGATCGCCATCCTGTGGCTGTTGGCCAGCTGTTACAGCATCTGGCTGCCTCGCTGCTATTTCCCAGTTTTCCTGGGGAACAACAGGTGGGGGCAGGTTGGCTCTGTGTGTGTGTGTGTGTGTGTGTGTGCGGGTGGGTGGGTGAGAGGGGGGAGCTCACACCCTCTGGGGACCACCCTGCCCAGCCTCCCTGAGCAGCCAGGCTCTTCTGTACCACTCCCCTGCCCCACTTCCCCATCCACCTCCTCTGATCCTACTGGGATAGCCTGGGCAGTCCTCAAATGCTGTGTGAGCCAGCTTAGCAGGGCGGGTGTGTGTGTGTGGGGGGGGAGGGGACGGTCCCTGAAATTGCAGAGTCCCAGCGACCCCTCTCCAGGGCCTGAAATCTTTCATACTCTTTCATGTGACTGTCCCAGGTGCCCCTCCTGACCTGGCTGATCCCGTTCCCACCCCGGGCCCTCTGATAGCATCCTAACCCTGCTCGGTTCACCTGCACCCTTGGCATCCCTCCCCACCCCCTCCCTCTCTTGCTTTCCCTCCCCCCCAGCCCCTGGAATTTTGCTGGAGCCCAAGAAACCTTCCTTCGAGCCTCCCTGGGTCACTTGAATCCCTGACCTGCCCCTTCCCCTGGGGTCCCCCTAGAGCTGTTTCTTGGCCTCACCCGTCCCTCCCGGGACCCTCTTAGGACCTGACCTTGGACCCTCCTGGGATCCCCTCTGCTGGGCTGCCTGAGAACCGCACAAGACTGACCCGAGCCTGGCGGTGCGCGCCCCATCCTCACCCTCTGAGACCACAGGATTTACACCTGACACTGTGTCCTCCCCCCCGCCCCCCGCAGGTCCCACTTCTCCTGTCTGGTGGCCGTGATGACCTTGATTAGCACCCTCTTGTCCTTCCTGCGGCCCACGGTCAACGCCTACGCCCTCAACAGCATTGCCATCCACATCCTCTACATCGTTTACCAGGAGTACAAGAAGTGAGTGCCAGGCACGGGCACCTGCGTGGGGCGGGCGTCATTGGTCCTCTCGGCCCCGCCACCAGGCTCAGCCACAGCCCACCGTCACTCACCCACAAGTGAGAATGCGAACCCATCTATATGTGTCTGCAGACCTGGTCCCTGGGGTAACAAAACCCCACCCCCTGAGCACGATATGATACTGCTGACAGCTTGGTGGAGATGCAGAGGGCTGGCCTTGGTGGCACAGTGGGCTATGCCCCCGCCTGTTGTCACCCACGCTGTGTATTGCAGTCCTGGTTCAGGTCCCGGCTGCTCCACTTCCAAGTCAGCTCCCTGCTGATGCAACAGGCGAGGCGGCAGAGGATGGCCCAAGTCCGTGAGGACCTGCCCGCCCCCCTGCCCATGTGGGAGACCCCGATGGAGCATCTGGTGGCTGGCTTCAACCTGGTGCACACCCCAGGTTGAACCAGAGGGTGGGATATTCCATCCACCACCTACCCCCAACCTGTGTCTCTCTCACTTTCAAATAATTTGTGGGAAGAGAGGGGTTAAAAGGTAAGTGAATTATCTATTTCAAACCTCCCACATAAGAACGCCTGGATTTAGAAAGCAAGCATTACCCGTCATCTTTACTCATTTGTGGCATCTTTAAAAAAATAATTTCGTAGAAGATGAGAGGAGAATGGTTTGTGGCCCAGCACTGTGGCATGGCAGGGAAAACCTCCAGTCGCAATGTGATCGTCCCACAGGACTGCCGGTTCTAGACCCGGCTGCTCCACTTCCCATCCAGCTTCCTGCTAATGTGCCTGGGAAGGCAACAAGCATTCATTTTTTTCTTTCTTTCTTTCTTTTTTTTTTTTTTTAAGATTGCACAAATGAGTGGAGATCATGAGTGGTGCTTGCGTTGCCCAAGCAGCCGGGACTCGAACCGGCACCCATATGGGATCCCAATGCATGCAAGGCGAGGACTTTAGCCACCAGGCTACTGCACTGGGTCCGGCATAGGCCATGTTTTCTCGACCCACTCATCAGCTCCCGGGCGCACTGGTTGCTGTTGTGGCTGGGCTGTTTTGGATGGAGTGAACAGAGCTGTAGCAGACACGGAAGCACAGGCGTCTCAGCCGTGCTGGGGCCTGTGGTCATTCCATAGTTACTTTCTTTGAGCAACTCCCCACTGCGTGGAGCAGTTCTGCATGCCATGCTGGTTGCACTGGGTCACATGATCACCATATTCTCATACATACGGGAGGGTGGTAGCGTTCTCTACACATTGGTAGTTAAATCTAGATTTAGGCTTGGCTATCTCTTAGGGGCGGGAGGGGCTGGGGTAGGGGTCACAACACCGCCCGGCCCCTCCTGTTTGCGTCCTATGTTCTGGCCTTGGCAATCAGCAGGTGTGAGGAGGCCACAGCTGTGTACGAAGCTTGCGCCTCCTAGCAGATCCTGGTAGCTCACCCACCTGGCTTTCCTTGCAGGAGTTTGCTTGCCAACCTTGGACTAAGCTCCAACATGGTCCTTTCCTTAACGTCTGAAGTCACGAGTTTGTGCCTGAGCCATCTCTAGCAGGGGGCAGTTGAGTTTTGAAAGGCTCCTTAAAGAACTTTTTTCTGTTTCTTTTTTAAGGAGAGAGAGCACTGCTGTGCAATAGATCACTCCCCAAATGCCTACAGTGGAGAGCAGACAGGACTTCACCTGGTCTCCTGTATGCAGTCGCAGGGCCCCACGTCCCTGGGTCATCTTCTGCTGCCTTCCTGGGAGCGTTAGCAGGGAGGCCGGGTTAGAAGTGGAGTGCCCTGGACTCCAACCAGAGCTCTGAAATGGGATGTCAGAGTCACATATGGCAGCTTAAGCTGCCACCCCAGCCTTGCATCTTTAATCCTCACTCCTCCCCTCCTTCCCACGTTGGAGCCCCATGCCCTGAATGGAAGAATCGCCCACTAGTCAGTCAGCCTCTGCACCTGCAGGTGTCCGAGCCAGGCATCCCTTCCACCCCCTGATTCTTCTACCCTCCTTAGGACCAGCAACAAGGAGCTGCGGCACCTGATTGAGGTCTCTGTAATCCTGTGGGCCATCGCGCTGACCAGCTGGCTCAGCGACCGCTTCCTCTGCAACGTCTGGCAGTGGGTACAGTTCTTCTACCTGCATAGTGTCTGGTAAGCATCTGCTCTCAGGCCTGACCATGCAGCATCCATGAAACTGTTCATCTGCCCATCCACCCATCCACCCACCTATATATCCATCCATCCATCCATCTATCCATCCATCCATCCATCCATCCATCCATCCATCCATTCATCCATTCATCCATCCTTCCATCCATTCATCCTTCCATCCATCCATCCATCCATCCATCCATCCATCCATCCATCCATCCATCCTTCCATCCATCCATCCATCCTTCCATCCGTCCGTCCGCCCGTCCGCCCATCCGTCCATCCATCCATCCATCCATCCATCCATCCATCCATCCATCCGCCCATCCGTCCATCCATCCATCCATCCATCCATCCGCCCATCCGTCCATCCATCCATCCATCCACCCATCCATCCACCCAGAATGATGACAAGAGCTTGGGCAGTGGGCCGGGCAGCAGTAGAAAGGCATCCCACTGGCAGGCACCTGTTGACAAGGGTTGTAGACCTAGCAGCTCTTGTTGGATAGCTGAAGCCTGTGAGAAGGAAGTTAGGGTGAAGCCTTGGGGGGAGGTGGGGTTGCTGTGGCACCTCCTCAGCTCTGCCCTCCTGTCCCACAGGCACGTGATCATCAGCATCACCTTCCCTTACGGCATGGTCGCCATGGCCCTGGTGGATGCCAGCTACGAGATGCCCGGCCAGACCCTCCGCGTGCGCTACTGGCCACGGGACTCTTGGCGCGTGGGGCTCCCTTATGTAGAAATCCAGGAAGACAACAAGAAGTGTTGACGCCTGCCTGGCGTACGAACTTGCTTGTGTCCCGAGGAGGGAGACCTGGTTCAGGTGTTGAACCTGAGGGACATCCTTGGTACTGGCCCTGTCCCCAGGGCACGGAATGGACTTGGTGACATCTCTCATGATGGTCCTGGGGAATCGCCTGGTCTATTTTGCTTTTGATTTCACTTCTGTTTCAGCAGCTTCCCCATAACCGTGTTGTCCTCACATGACCAGGCACCATTGTCACATGACCTGGTTGGGGGTCATCGATGATGCATTATCTGCTAGGAATGACCCCAGGCTGGGACTTGTACTCCATGTTGGTGGTCATTGCCAAACTGTCTGGTTCATCTGCTTGGGGGCCAGCACACAATCCCCCTGTCCTTGCAGGGAGGGGGACACTGCAGAGGACGTGCCTAACTCTGAGATAACCCATTTGATGTACCTCATTTGCCACCCTCGCATGTATGTGGTGAGTGTACAAACCCTCACCATCCCCCTGGTCTTGTGGCAGCCATTGTCACCGGCAGTTGGACAGTCACGGAAAGCGAAGACCACCTGGGTGCTGTGGGGATGCAGCACACCAGGCAGGGGCCAGGACGGGAGGATGGTTTCCACGGTGCATAGGGCCCAGGGCTCGGAGACAGCCAGGGCTGAGTTCCTGTCCTGCTGTTTCCTAGTTGTATAATCCTGGGGAGGTGATTCTTTTTTTTTTTTTTTTCTATCTTTGGAGCTCAAGTGCCTGATGGGTAAAAGGAGAGTAGCATTTCTTTCTCTTGGTGTGTGTGTGTGTGGGGGGGGTGGTTTCTATGTAAATGAAATAATGTGTAGAAAGTGCTTAGTGTGGAGTCTGGGAAATGTCCACTCATCTGTCCACTGGTCCACTGGACCCTCCTCTACTGACCTACCAAGGCATCCTTCCCTTTTCTCCTGCTTCTGTGTGTACACTGCTTCATCCTTTCATCGCTCATCTGTTTCATTCGCCATTGATGGAATTAACCCAACCCATTCGTTGAACAAGCCGCGCATCTGTCCATGTATTGGAACAGATGCTTCCATGGTTGGAACTAGTTATCCATCCCTGCATCTCTCAATGAGCAAATCATTTATTCATCCATCATCCATCCACCCACTCTCCCATCCATCCATCCATCCACCCATCCATCTATCATCCATCCATTCATCCACCCATCATCCATCCACCCATCCATCCATCCACCCATCCACCCATCCATCCATCATCCATCCACCATCATCCATCCATCCATCATCCATCCACCCATCCATCCATCCATCCATCATCCATCCACCCATCCATCATCCATCCACCCACTCTCCCATCCATCCATCCATCATCCATCCACCCATCCATCCATCATCCATCCACCCACTCTCCCATCCATCCATCCATCATCCATCCATCCATCCACCCATCCATCATCCACCCATCCATCTATCATCCATCCATTCATCCACCCATCATCCATCCACCCATCCATCCATCCACCATCATCCATCCATTCATCCACCCATCCATCCATCCATCATCCATCCACCCACTCTCCCATCCATCCATCCACCCATCCATCCACCATCATCCATCCACCCATCCATCCATCCACCCATCCACCCATCCATCCATCATCCATCCACCATCATCCATCCATCCATCATCCATCCATCCACCCATCCATCATCCATCCACCCACTCTCCCATCCATCCATCCATCCATCCATCCATCCATCCATCCACCCATCCATCCATCATCCATCCACCATCATCCATCCATCCATCCATCCATCATCCACCCATCCATCCATCCATCCATCCATCATCCATCCACCCATCCATCCATCCACCCATCCACCCACTCTCCCATCCATCCATCCATCCATCCACCCATCCATCATCCACCCATCCATCCATCCATCCATCATCCATCCACCCATCCATCCACCATCATCCATCCATCCATCCATCCATCCATTTTTCTATTCATTTATCCTTCCAGACCATTCAGTCATCTTTCTACAGATAAAAGAGCCCCCCCCCTTTCTCTTTGTAACTCTGCCTTTCCAATAAACTTACCTTTAACGAATAAAGCTGGTGATTCTCTGCAGCCTATAGGACGATGGTGCAAGGCCTCTGTCTGACTTTTGAGATCTGTCCAGGTTTGAAGTTAAGCTGAGAGAGGTGGGGGAAAGGTCTCTCCTGGGTGGCAGCTGCGACACTCCGGCTTGGTCCCGTGCAGTGCTGCAGTGGGTGGGTGGCTGCGTGCACGTGCGTGCTGGGAAGCAGCAAACTTGGAGGTAGAGCGTGCTGAAGGCAGAAGGAGTGAGTATTCTAAGGGATGTGTCCAAAATTCTTGCTTGTGGCTGAGGGCTGGTGGAGTCATCTTCGAGGTGAGGTAGACCAGTAGAGGGTGGTAGAGAGCAACACAGCAGCAGTTTCAAGCCCGACAGAAAAGTTACTTTGTGGCCACTTGTGCGGCTGCTCCTCCATCCCCACTTAAGCATTTGTAACACTGAGATAGCAAGCCCCGGGAATGCTGCCCAGCTGTCCCCATCCCTACCAGGCACGCTGAAACGTGGCTCCCTTCATGTCTTCCTTTAACTCCTTGCAGAAGGCAATCAGATGAAATTTGGAAGTGGAAACTAGATAGATACACAGTACGAACCAGGAGCTGTACCACTTGGAGCTTGGAAATTCTCAGGCCAGGCTCGAGGCTGCAGTTCTCATGTGAGATTTTAACAAGGGAGGAAGGATGTTTCTGTCCCATTGTTGGGCAGAAAAATAGAAACCCAGCATCGTTGGAGGGAGGACTTTGAGTACAAGCAGACTTTGAAAACTTTTGAGGAGACTCACACGTCCTCGTGTGGTTAGGAAGCCGGGCACCCACAGCCGCCCGCCTCTAGGCTCTGAGCCCTGGAGCTGTTCAGTAGGACAGTATGAGAGAGGGGTTTTAGATGCATGATGCCAAGCCACATTCTCATTCCTGGACAGTGGAAGATGGACTAAAGAACACGTATAAAAGAAATCAACCTAGCTATTGGACTATGATTTCAACTTTTATTCCCAAATATTTCTAGAGTGCCTACTCTGTGCCAGGCATTGTGTTTAGGCTGGAAGAGTGAAAAGACAGATAGAGACCCTTATTTTGGCGGGGGCGGGAGGGGAGGCTGTTCAGCGCTGTGGCTTGCAAGTTAAGCTGCCACCTGCAGTACCAGCATCTCATATGGCAGCCGGTTCAAATCCCGGCTGCTCCTCTTCTCATTCAGCTCCCTGTTCATGCACGTGGGGAAGCAGCGGAGCGTGGTGTAAGTGTTCAGGTCCCTGTCCCCAGGTGGGAGACCTGGGTGAAGCGCCTGGCTCCTCCTGGCTTCAAGCTGGGTCCGTCCTGGTTGTTGTGGCCGCTTGGGGAGTGAGCTAGCAGATGGAAGATGTGTGTGTGTGTGTGTGTGTGTCTGTGTGTTTCTGTCTGTAACTGCCTCTCAAATAAATAAATCTTCCAAAAATGAAGGTGGAATTGCTGTATTGGCCTGGAGAAAGAGACAAGGAACCGAATTGGCAACTATGTATTTATTAGGAAGTGTCTGGTGGAGACAGAGGAAGAACTTGATAAGCTACTGTGTATGTAATTAACAGGCTGACAAGTGGAACTAGGCAACAAACTTTCTAAATGTGTATCTAGCAGGGAGCAACAAAGTTCCTAAGTAGAGAGTCCTAAGTGCTGTGGAAATAGATAAAGCTAGAAGAGCTTGAGGAAGGCAGGTATGCAAGACCCAGGTAGGATGCAACAGCAGGGTCTGCCGAGGTAGAAGTGGGCAGGTGCCCTGGGGACAAAGACTTGGAGGAGAAGGGGTTCAGGGTTCAGCCAGGCAGTTTTGGGGTGGAGGGAAGGGGTAGTGTCCAAGTTGGGAGTGGGCATTTGGCCTCATGTGATTACGCTAGCACTGCCTGTTGCAAATGGACATGGCACACTGTCCAAAATCAGTATTAGAGTATGAGGAATCTGCACGCCTGCGTCCCTCATTACAGACTCTGCCGTGCGTCCCTCGTTCCTAGCAGGTTTTTTTTCTTTAGTAGTGAACAATTCCCGAGCTACGTGTACAAGGAATCTGAAAAACTTGTGTGTTTTATGCATTTAGTCTTGGGTCCCAGCCTGGAGTTGTGTCACTTCGTACGCATAAACATTCCATTAGTAGGGGACGAAACTCAAAAGCTGAACTATAAAGAATCTTAGATAAAAGAAGCCCAATATTTAGTAATAAGCCAGACCCTAGCACCCAGTGTGATGGTTCAGCCGGCTAATCCTCTGCCTGGCAAGTGCCGGGATCCCATATGGTCGTCAATTTGTGTGTTCTGGCAGCTCCACTTCCCATCCAGCTCCCTGCCTGTGGCCTGGGAAAGCAGTGGAGGACGGCCCAAAGCCTTGGGACCCTGCACCCACGTGGGAGACCTGGAACAAGCTCCTGGCTCCTGGCTTCAAATCAGCTCAGCTCCAACCACTGCAGACACTTGGGGAGTGAACCAGCAGGTGGAATATCTTTCTGTCTCTCTTCTCTGTCTCAATCTGCCTTTCCAGTAAAAATAAATCTTCAAAACAAAACCAGGCTCTATTCCAACAGAGAGAGCGAGTAAAAATGAGAGGGCGTGAGCTAGGGGAGGGGAAGAGAGGGAGGAGAGAGGGGAGAGTGTGTCTTGGGCATTTAATACAGCAAGATTTTGAATTTGGGATGGTCTAGGGAGCGTGTGTGTGTGTGTGTGTGTGAGAGAGTGTGTGTGTGTGTGTGAGAGAGAGTGTGTGTGTGTGTGTGTTGGGGAGCAGCCCACCTGCCCTTGCCACCCTCCAGGGTTGCCAACACCGATGTGAAGTAGCAGAATGCCCGGTCGCCATCCTCCTGCCACGACGCAGCAAGCTGAGCGGACGAGGGTCGGGAAAGGTGGGGAAGGTGGGAGAGGTGGGGGAGGGGGAAGGGCCCTCGGTCCCTCTGCAGGATTCGAACCAGTAACGACGGCGGCGCCTCGGGGCGGCGCGGGAGGGGGGTGTGTGGGACCGTCTCCACGCAGGCGCGGCCCCGCCCCG